TAATAACAGGAGGGAACACAGACAAAACCAACCACCAAACTCTGAATCACTCCCAGCTGATGGCAAAACTAACTTTTCAACTGAATTTTTGCTGCTTGTTCTCACAGTACAAAGCTGTGAAGATTTTTAACGTTCTCGTGAATATTTATTCAGAAATTTAATTAAGATTTATTTAATATTTATTAGTATGAAATTGAGATGATCTCAAGACCTTTTAAGTACCTAAAAGGGGCTTGCAAGAAAGCTGGGGAGGGGCTTTTCACAAGGAGAAGGGGGAATTGCCTCAAGCTGAGGGAGGGCAGGGTTAGATGGGATGTCAGGAATTCTCCCCTGGGAGGGTGGGGAGGTCCTGGCACAGGTTACCCAAAGGAATTGTGGCTGCCCCTGGATCCATGGAAGTGTCCAAGGCCAGGCTGGACAGGGCAGGGAGCAACCTGGGCTAGTGGGAAGTGTCCCTGCCCATGGCAGAGGAGTTGGAATGAGATGAGCTTTGAGGTCCCTTCTAACCCAAACCATCCTTTAATTCCAAGATGTCCCTTCTTAAAAAAAAGCAACTCCCAAACTGACAGTCATTTTGACATCCTGCTGACATAACTGCAATCCCAATTTCCAGGACAGAACAGTGCCCATCATTCCCTGGGCATCCTTTAAAGCAGGCAGGGCAGGCAAGTGAAAACACCCCAGTGTCCCATAAACCAGTCCCATATCCCAGTGCCCAGGAACCCCCAGAACTCACCCAGACACATCAACACCCCCACCCCAGACACACCCAGAGAGGGAAATCCCCCACTAAAATCCACTCTGTATCAAAGTACATCTTCACACATTGCCAACCACTCCCTAAATCATGGATGATTTTCTTCAGTGTATGGACAGAATTCCCAAGCATTCCCAAACTCTTAACTATACACATCAAACACTGGATCATTCCCATCCCAAAAGAACCCCAAAGCTCACCTTTTGCTGTCCGGAGCAGGGACTGTCTCCCTGCACCCAGCAAGGAATTGACTCTGGAAATGCTGGGTGGGATCTCCTTATCCAGGATAGGGCCAATCCTCTTGCAAATTTGTAATAAATGATCTGGAGCCACATGTTTGTTGGACAGCACCTGACAGGAATTTAAGTTTAAAAAAAAAAAAAAAATCTGTAGAACAGATGAATCTGAAAGCATCAACATTCACAGGTTTATTAAATAAATTAGAACTTTAACTTCCAAACCAAAATCAATGCTGTCTGATCTAGTAAATTCAGTGAGGACTCTACAAGCAAGGGAGAGTAGAAATAACTGCAGTAAAGAAGTAACTCACTGCACATCAGTATTTTACCACTGGAAGCTTCAAATAACCACCCTACAAGCGAGAGTCTTTGCCCATTTCACCCAATTATCTGTATTAAAAATAAGAATTCAAATTCAAAGCCTCACATAACTCAAGGTCATGGAGAATCTGGTTGCAGTCAGGCACGAGAACCTGTGCAGCTACTCCTTCAGCCACACAGCACTTGCTCAGTGAACTGCAAAGGGGCAGGTTTGAGTACAATCTCCCTGGAAATAGCTTCCTTGAAAAACCAGCACTGCCAAGCCTGCCCTACTTCCTTAAACCAAAAGTCATCCCTACATTCAGGAGTGATCCCACACCATCATCTGCATCAAACAACCTAAAAACTCCACACCCCCACACGCACTTGGACGGCTCAGCCAAGAGCAGGCGGGTGCAGGCTTTGAGTATTTTTTCCACCTCTCTTATTTCTGGGTGTTCCATGAAAAAAAAATCCTTATTCTTTCCAAGTTCAACCCCAATAATGCAGCAGGTAAAGGTGCAGAGGAGGGGTTGAACAGCCTCAAGTAAAGCAAAGCACCAGAATCCTGAACTGAAGCTGCTGGGAAGGTGTGAATCAACCCCGTGTGGCACAGAGAAACCAGTCAGACCCTGCTGGAATCGGTGGCTGAATCAGCCACTCTGCTCCTCAGGAACCTCACAATTCCCAGGCAATCAATCCATCCAGGAGAGGCACAGGGCCACACCAACACAGGTATGTGGCCTCCTGCCCAGGCAGCTGAGAACACAGGCACAACCAGCTCGTGCTGCTGCTGCTGCTGCTGAATGACTGAGCCTGGGTGAGCCAAGTCCTGACAGGGCTGATCTCCCTCCTCAGAGCACTGGGAATGAAAATGCAGCAGGGCAGATCTGGGCAACAAAAAGCTCCTCAAAGGCACACTGTGCAGTGGGAATGAACAGTGAAAGCCACAGCCCTGCACTTGTTTTAATCATAAAAAAATCCGGGCTTGAGGCTCGTGGGGGTTCGGGTTGTGTTCCTGAGGCAGGAACATCAGTACAACAGGTCACATCATCCTATGGGCAAATATATCCAGGAAAATCAGCTCATGGGATGCTTAAAATCGATTCTAAGATTACAAAGTGGACTTTCTCATTATTTCTTCACCAGTGTTGTCCCCTGAACTGGTACAGAGCAGTGCCAGCCACAGCACTCAGGACAGAAAGCTCAGCACACTTTCTGCCAAGCACTAAACCCCTTTTTGTTTGCAGGGCCACCAGCAGCAAGTGTGCATCCCAAACTCAGTCCTGGCGTGCAAAACCTGGCAATCCCTCTCCTGTTTAATTGGTTTCACTCAAATTTTGGGAGGAACAGTTGTTTTACAGCTTTAAAATGCCCCGATGAATGCAGAGGGTAAGGAGTAATCACACCTCATGGTTGTATTTGTCGGTGGGCTGTGCAAGTTCAGAGTGAGAACAGCGGGACAAGAGGTTCCCCAAACCCCTCAAAAAGCAGAAACTAAGTAGTTCAGAAGATTAATTTAGATATTCTCAAATACTGCTGCCCTGTGTAGACATTTCTTTCCAACTGTGCAGGAAAAAGAGGCAGGAGCAGCACACGTTAAAGAATTAACCTGACAATTGTATGTGCACAATAATCACGGCTAAAAAGCACTCCTGAAGTCAGAAGAACCCACACAGGACACCTCCCAACACCCCACTTTTCACCAGAAGAAATGGGGTAAAAAAACCAACAAGGAACCAACAAAAGAACTCCCAACAATCCTTTTTAAACTTAATCCTGCTTTCATCTTTGCTAAATTCAAGTCAGAGCTTGAAGATATTCCTGTTTAGCAAGACTAGGCTTCTCAGTGCCTTAAAAAAAACTCATCTAAAACCTCACTTGCTCGACTGACCACACTGACAAGGAGAGGAAATGGAATCAAATTTATTGTTCTGAGCAACACTTGAATCATTAAGAAAATGTTTTAAACGAAAAATTCATTCCTTCCCAAATACAATCCTGAGATCTTTAAGTGCTCCTCAACACGGACTGAACTACAATAATCAATTAACCTAGAATGTCTGAATCTTGGGAGGGGAAAAAAAAGCAAGAGCAAACACCTCTTTAAAGAAAACAAAACCAACCAGAATAAGGCAAGATAAAAACCACCGCTGGGCAGGCACCCCCAGGCCATCCCTTCACGGGATTCAACTGCCAAACACAGTTTGCCATTTCAAAAGCAGCAAAATTAAGCAGCAGAACAGAGCCCTCCCTTAAGTAAAAACATTTAGAGCAAGCAGCATCAGCCCTGGAGGGCAGAAAGTACATTTTCCTGAGAGAGATCACCCCCATCCTTCCAGCATGAAGAGACAAAGCAGTGACCAGCGAGGAGCCAGAGATAACGAGCACATTCACAGGCACCAGAACTGCCAACCCTCCGGGTTTCCGAGCAGCGATTTCCTTTCCTGATCTGTTGGAGGGGGGCTGAAAGGAGCCAACCAGCAAAAAAAAAAATAAATACCGACAAATCAAAGCGTGCCTCACAAGCTCGCCCCTGAAACTCCGAAATGAAACCTGGGCGCACATTGGCTCCCGCCTGCGTGTAGGCAGCGGCATCCACCACCGCACAACGCCAAGCTCCACCTCTGCTATGTAAACAATATCCTCGATTTAAAACCGCCGCTTGTGTTTTTGTTAGTCCGGTGTCAAAGAAATTAAAGGCCCCTTCTCTAAAATAACTCCGCTGGCCGGAGCCGGAGCGATGCTGGAAGGTGAAGGTTCGGGCCTGGTTTTAAAGGTAGAGAGGGTCTAAAGTCGGTTGTTAGCACGGTAATCAAAAGGGGGGGTTTTTGAAAGGTAAAAGTCTCACCAATTCTTCGTAACTTCTATAATGCTCATTTCCTTGCCAATCCAACCTTTTAGGAAGCAACTAAACAAAGGGAAAAAAAAACAAACCGTGAGCGGTTGAAGGGGAAGGAGGGGATTACAGATCACATCCAAAACAATGTGTGTGTTGAAGGCGGGGGAAAAGTTGAGACAGCGGCAGAAACTTGAATGACTTGCAAGGGAAACTTTTAACTACAGCGGGATTTCATCAGAGCCCACACAGACCTGGTGCTGCTCCAGCTCCTGCACCAGCACCTGCAGTGGAAAAGGGGAAAAAAAAAAAACACAGAGTGAGGGACGAGCCGGGATTTGGCTTCTCCAGAGCTGGAGGGGGGGCGCGGCTGCTCCCACCTCCCCCCGACCCCGGGCGGGCAGCGCGGGGTCCCCGCGCCCCGGCGAGCGCCGCGCTCCCTCACTCACCTTCAGCGCTCTCCGGCAGGGCCCGGTGCTCAGGAACCGGGCGATGAGGAAGTAAAGCTCTGCGAGAAACACAGGGAGAGACCCGTGGGATGGACTGAGCCGGGGGGCGGCCGTGCCCCATCCTGAGGGGAGGGTGGCGGAGGGGGGGGCAGGAAGATGGCGGCACCGGCGGCGCCTCCTGGCCCCGGCCCGCGCTGTTACCTGATTCAATGAGCGGCAGCGGCGCGCCAGCGCTGGAAGAGGCCGCGGGCTCGGCCATGGCGGGCTGAGGGCGGCGGGCCCGGCTCGGCACGGCGCTGTCAGCGCCTCCCCTCCCTCCCTCCCCTCACGGCCGCCCCCCCGCTCCCCTCAGCGCTCCCTCCCTCTCCCCCCTCAGCGCAGCCTCGGCGCCGCCGCCATCGCCGCCGCACCACCCGCCACGGCGCCGCCGCCGACACCTCCGCCGGGCGCGCCCGCGGGTGGGCGGGGGAAAAATAGTCCCCGCGCTCCAGCGAGCACCGGGAGCGGCGGGGAAACGGCGGAGAGCGCGTGCGGCGGAGGGGAAGGGTGAGGGGAAGGCGCCGGGGAAGGCGGCGGGGAGGGAGTGGCGGGGAAGGAGATCGGAGAGGGGAAGGGGACGACCGGGCGCGGAAGGGTCGCGCGAAGAAGGCATAGGGTGATGCGGCCGAGTGGGCGGGGCGGGCGCGCCGTGAGGCGGCGGCGCTGAGGGCATGGCGGGGCTGAGGGCATGGCGGGGAGCGGCGGTGGCTCCGGGGCTGAGGGCATGGCGGGCAGGGGAGCGGCGGTGGCTGCGGGCATGGCGGGCAGGGGAGCGGCGGTGGCTCCGGGACTGAGGGCATGGCGGGCAGGGGAGCGGCGGTGGCGGCGGGGCCGTCGCTGAATCGCCTCGCGGGAACGGTGGGGCTGCCGCCGCCTCGGTCCTCCCGGCTCGGAACAGCCCTTCCCGGGAACCTGCGCCGAGAGCCCGCCGTGATGCGGTGGCGGAGCGGGCACCGTGTGCCGCGGGGCCAGCGCCTTCGCCTCCGGTGCTGTGTCCAGTTCTGGGCCCCTCAGTGCGAGAAGGGCATTGAGAGGGGCTGGAGCGTGTCCAGAGAACGGAGCGGAGCTGGGAAGGGGCTGGAGCAGCAGGAGGGGCTGAGGGAGCTGAGGGGGCTCAGCCTGGAGAAAAGGAGGCTCAGGGGGGACCTTCTGGCTCTGCAATCCCTGACAGGAGGGGGGAGCTGGGGGGGCTCGGGCTCTGCTCCCAGGGAACAGGGACAGGAGGAGAGGGAACGGCCTCCAGCTGTGCCAGGGGAGGCTCAGGTTGGACGTGAGGAATTATTTTTCACTGAAGGGGTGGTTGGACATTGATAAGGGCTGCCCAAGGAGGTGGTGGAGTCCCCATGCTTGGAACTGTTCGAGACACGACTGGACGTGGCACTCAAATGCCAGGGTTTAGTTTGCAGGGAAGAGATCGATCACAGATTGGACTCGATGATCTCACAGTTCTTTTCCAAACGAATTGATCCCGTGAGTCAAAGGGCAGTGCCCTGCACAGCGCTCAGCGTGCCCCGCGCTGGCAGAGAGCTGGAAGCATCGGTGCCCTGCCCACACTGGAGGAGCTCGGGAACAGCCCTGTCTCCTCCAGCTCCCCAGGTGATGCCTGGGGGCACCTCGGCTGCCCCAAACGCCGTCCTGGGGAGGAGCATTTCCCACCCCATCGAGGCGGCGGCAGCAGCAGCAGCGCTGCACTGACATCACCCATCCAAAACCAGCAGTGCCACCTCCATCCCACCCTCGCTGTGGGAGCCAGGGTTTTGGGATTTGGCAGCCAGGACATGGCCCTGCTGGACCCAGTCCAGAGGAGGCACCGGGAGGATCAGAGGGATGGAGCAGCTCTGCTGGGAGGGTTGGGATCGTTCAGCCTGGAGAAGGGAAGGCTTTGGAGGGAACTAAATGTGATCTTCCAGAACCTGAAGGGAGACAACAAAAAAGGTGGAGATAGAGACTATTTCCAAGGGCCTGGAATGACAGGATAAGGGGAACAGCTTCAGACTGACAGCAAGTAGGGTTTAGATGGGATATTGGGAAGAAATTTTTCCCTGTGAGGGTGGGCAGGCCCTGGCACAGGTTGCCCAGAGAAGCTGTGGCTGCCCCTGGATCCCTGGAAGTGTCCAAGGCCAGGTTGGACGGGGCTTGGAGCAACCTGGGCTGGTGGAAGGTGTCCCTGCCCATGGCAGGGAGTTGGAATTGGATGATCTTTAAGATCCTTCCAACCCAAACCATTCTCTGACTTAGCTTTTTTCCTTCTCACAGTTGTTTCTCACCCTGCCCAGCATGAACTGTGATGAGAACAGCAATGGCTGTACTTGTGTTGTATTTTAAATCCAAGCTGTTCTTGCCTTATTCCATTCCCCACCTGTGGTCCTTGAAATGCAGTTTTAAAACCTTTGAAGTAACATATTTTTACGTGTCACTCTCTTAAACCACCCAACCAGTAGCACCACACAAATACAAGGGAGTAACTTCCAAGAGACATCTTCTGTTCTCTTCCTGTTGTTTTTTGAATGGGATGGTGCTCCATCCTGGATATATTCCATAGTGCTGGGTGAGCATCTGCATCAGCTCTCACTCCAGTCCTGGAGTTGGAGAGCAGATATATTTGGGATCACACAGGAGTCAGTTATAATTAATTGAGCATTGGATAATTGATCCAGAGGATCACAACATCACAGACTCAAAACACATGAAAATCTGGTGCTTTGTAAAAGCATCTGAAAGGTGTCATTTTGGGGTATTTACCTGCAAGTTTAATCCTCACTTAACTTGTTTGACTTGTCTAATCCACAGAGCAAAAAAACATCACGGAGCTACGTCACTGTTACTACTGAATTAAACCCCAACTAAGGCCACTGGAAGGGGGTGCTGGAAAAGAAAAGTGGCATAAATTTACAGTTTTCAAATATCCAAGAACTTGAAGCCAAAGCCAGTTGTGCATTCAGAAGGAAACCTGTGGTGGAACTGGACCAGGAGCATGTTGTGGTCCAATAGAGGACTTTTATATATATATATATATATATATATATATATATACAGGTAAATTAAACATTGCCTAAATATTGAAGAGATAAAAATGGTAAAATTCTTTTTGCAATGAAAACATTGATTAAGCAAATGAGTTGAAGTGGAACTCAAGTGTTTGTTTCTTTTTTTTTTTTTTTAGAAATAACTGTAGGAGAATTTGACAAAGGCCCCCAAAACGTACAGGAAGCAGATGCTGTGCTTGCAGGTGTCACTTAAAGAGCACAAACAAATTCTGGGGCAAGGGGGGAAAAAAAAACCAAAGAAGAAACGTTCCTGTTTGATCTTGGCTCCTCCCAGGACAGGCTGACAGTTTGCTGATGCCTACTAATTATTGACTCTTTTTTTTCTTGCAAATTCAGCTTAACACTGTGTTTTTCCACTTCCAGCTCTTAAAAATTACATTTTTAATGCAGTTAAAACTCCCAACCACACTACTTATATTGTGAGTTGTCACAGTCGATGCAGGAGCTACAGAAACTTTCATAATCAAGATTTATTTGGCTTTTGTTTGAAGATCACAAACACTATGAACAATTTTACAATTGTTTTTATTCACATAGTTTTTTTAAATCTAAAAACTAATTTTTTTTTCCCCTAGGACTATTTCAAATATTTTTTTTCACTTGATCTTTGTAGACAAGCTGTCCTTTAAAACTAGAGGTGAAGTTCCAGTATCTCAAATATTGACTTAACGATTTCCATCTGCCGAGCAGAAACTTTTCCTTAGCCGCTATTTAAAGATATAAAATAAAAACTTTCCCATCTTTCTCAGCACAGCTACAAAGTTGTTGGGGGAAAAAAAAACCAACCAAAAAATAAAGCTGCAACTACCAAAAATAACTTTGTCACAGATTAGACATCACTCAGCAAGAAATCCAACACTAGGGAGCAGTTTTATTAGCTAAGGAATTCTACTGCTGGTACAACCATAAAGATAAATAACTATAATGTTAAGACATTCTCAACACGTGGTTACGAATTCCAAAGTCTCATCTGTGTTCTGCTTCATTTAACAGGGTAGAAAACTGTCCCTCCCAGGCTGTAGAAAGTGAAGCCTCATCAAGGCTTCAAAGCCCTCTCCTTAATTACCACGCTGCTCATTTCTGGTTTCATAGAAAACAGACAACCAGTACATGACTTTACCACTTAGAAAAAAAAAAAGCATTTACACATATCTAAATATGTAAAAAAATGGGTCGAGTCAGGATTCTCTCTCCTTTTTCTTATTTTTTTTTTTGCTTTTTAAAAAACGTGTTTTTCTAGAACTACTAAAAAACTTGCATTTACAAAATAGTCGATAAAAATATTCCTCTGAATTGTACAAGAAGAAAGGTTCGAGGACCACCAGTTACAGCTTGGGGGGTGGGGGGTTTACTCAGACTTCACTTCTTTCTCTGCAGCTGCATCAGGTGCTGGGGGCTGAAAGGAGACAAAAAAAAAAAACACCAGGACATTTCAGTGCAGGAAGTTTTAAAATGGCTCAGATTCTTTGATTTAATGCACAAAATGACACAGAGAACAACCCTGACTTTGGCTGGGCTGACCAGCACAAGTCCAGCATGAAGATGCTCAAGTTAAAAAAAAACAAACAACAAAATATGTGATTGTAACGATGCCAAAAAGTTGAGCCAACTGAGTAATTCCCAGTTAGATCCCAACTTTTCACCAAAGATGAGTCTAAGCTTCCAAATGACAAACTTACACCACGAGTAAATGACTCCAGGACCATCCTGTGCTTTCCTTGCTACCTAAAAACCTCCTACTCAAAGGTCTGTACACAGATGGATCAGTGGGACAGCATTTCCACCTTAAAAAACAAATCACTTTGCAGTGCAACAGGAGCCCACAGGAAGCATGAATAAAATAAACAAATAAATTAAAAAATCACCTGACTCTGCTCAGCAGGGCCCACTGAACTCACCAAAGTGAGGGCTTGGCTATCACAGACACCTGAGAGCAGTTCTGGGCTGGCACCACACTCGTGTTTCATGTTGGCAGCTGCCCTAAGAGACACTGCTCTTCCTTCCAGATGCTGTCCTAAGTTAGAGCTGAATTATTCCTGCATTCCAGCACTCCTGCAGTGTGCAAGTGTTTAGGTTCGAGCTGAGCACTGACTCCAAACACTTCACCATCAACAGCTCTCAGCTGGCTCTCCCACCTTCTCCTCCAGCCCTGCACCAACCTGTCCCTTCTCCCAGCACGGTCTGTAAATGTTACCTCAGTTTTACCTCACTGAAATCCCCTTCCAGTCCCAAGAAAAAGAACATTCCGTTTGTCAAAACACTTTTGTGGCAAGGAGGAAACTTCTCTGCCAGCCAGACCCAAAGCCAGCCCTCAGAACTTTTACCTCCTCGGTTTTGGCCTCCCCATTTTCTGCAGGCAGGTTGTCCTTTGTCTGCTCTTGGTTCGTCTCTTCTGTCTGTTTGCCTTTAGGCCCCTTTTTCCCCTTCTGAGCTTTCTTGTCCTCAGATTTATCCTACAATGAAAAATACATTTCCAGTCAGTAAATTCCTCTGATTTACCAGATAAACTCTGAAAATAATAAAAAGCACAGAAAACCAAGATGGGCTTGCTAAGCTACCAACAGCCCCTGATCCCCCTACTTACAAAATATTTCAGAATCACATAAATGCAACACACAGATCTCTATGGTTTTATTGTCAAAATCTATTATTCTTCATCAGGATTTATTTAAAAGCCCCACGAAGTAAGTCCATAATGAGCAAACTTCTCCCAACCTGAAAAAATACTGTCAGGAAAGTTTTAAAAAGCGACCAAGTTGATGCAGAAAAAGTGCATTTTAATGGGTCAAATACAGAAAACAGAAATAAAAAATCTATCATTTGACCGGTAATTAACAATTAATTGGTAATTAACAATTAGAAGTAATGACAGAAGTTCTTCAAAAATGGAAAGTGAGGTATTTTTCAGTGGATAAGAAATTAGTGTTTTCCTGTCCTAACAACACTGCTTTAAAATGTGAGTAGATATATTCTATCCCCTTTTGTTCTAGTGGTGAAATATAATCCTCTGAACAGAATCACAGGATCACTGAGGCTGGAAAAGACCTCCAAGATCATCGGGTCCAACCTGTGCCTTGTCACCCAGCCCAGGGCACTGAGTGCCACATCCACTTGTTTCCTGAGCACCTCCAGGAATGGGGACTCCACCACCTCCCTGGGCAGCCCCTTCCAATTCTTAACAACCCTTTGCATGAAGAAATTCCTCCTGATGTCCAATTGCTTTAACATTCAAGTAGTTCCACCCCTTACCAAACTACCAATGGAGCAGTGCCCACATTTCCATGCCTGAGACCTGAACAAGGATCTGCTCACAGAGTGGTGGAACGTACCTACAGACACGGCAGAAGCGCCTTAAAACGGCACTTCAGCCAAACCGAGCGTTCCCACAGGGAATAAAACACGAGGACATGACATGGGATGCCACCACTCAGCACCTCCTCCACCTCCCCTCTTCCCACTCACCTTTGCCGGCAACTTTTTTGGCTTCGGCTCTGCTTTGGCCGGCGCGGGTTTCTGAGGAGAGAGAACAAGTCAGGCGGAGATCCCGCCGCGGGTGAGCCCCTCCCGGGTGCTCCCACGCACCCATCCACCCACTCCCCGCCCGTCCCGCAGGGGCCGCGCCGCTCCCGCACTCACCGCGGACAGACGCGCCGATCGCCGCTTGGGCTGCGGGGGGAGAGACAGAGACAGAGAGAGAGAGAGAGAGAGAAGGGGCGTGAGCGGGCGGGACGGGTCCGGCCCCGCCTGCCCCACGCGTGTCACAGCGTCGCCAGTGTCACAGTGTCGCCAGTGCCACAGCGTCGCCAGTGTCACAGCGTCGCCAGTGTCACGGTGTCGCCAGTGTCACAGTGTCGCCAGTGTCACAGCGTCGCCAGTGTCACTCACCTCCGCCGGCGCGTCCCCGTCCGCCACCGTCACCTGCAACCCAGAGCGCCCGTCAGCGGGGCGGGCCCTCGGGCGGCCCCTCCCGCTCGCCGCCCCTTCCCGCGCCGCTCCCGGACCGCGCGTCCCGCCGAGCCCCCCCGGCCCTTCCCGGCGCCTCCGGCCCCCTCGGGGCCGCCCCGCTCCGGGGGCAGGCGCCGGGCATCGCCACCGCCCGCTGCACCGGAGCCCGCGGGGCGGCCGCGTCGCTTCCCCCCCCCGCCCCATCCTCCCAACCCCGGCCCTGCGCGGCCGCCGCTCCCCCCCGCGGGCTGCCGCTCCCCGCTCGGCCTCACCTTCCTCTTCGGCATCTCGAGGCTCCGGAGCTGCGGCTGCTCCCGGCCGGCGGCTGCTGCGAGCGCCGCGGCGGCTGCCTGCGAGCCACAGCCCGGCTGCGCAGGGAAACCGCCTCCCCCCCTCCCCATCCCAGCAGCGCCAGCGGCGCCGCAACAGGATCCAGCCGGATTGGAGCGGGGGGAGCGGCGGGACGGGCTGGGATGGGCGGGATGGGGGAGCGCTCCGCCCCTGCCCGGGAGCGCGCACCGAGAGCCCATTGGATAGGGGCGGTCACGGCGCCGCGCCTGGCCCGCTGCGCTCCCGCTGCTCCGCCCGACCCCTGTCCCGATCCCGATCCCACTCCCGACCCCGACCTTAACCCCCGTCCCGGCCGCGATCGCGGTCCCGGAGCGCCGTCAGTGCCGCCGGCGGCGGGGCCGGGCCATGGCGGAGGGCGGTGCGTGGCTGCTGGTGCTCAGCGCCGTGTTCCTCTGCAACGCGCTCAAGATCCTGCTGCCCTCCTGCTCCTCCATCGTGAGTGATGAACCCGCCGGGGGTGGGGGGCACAGGGCCCTTGGGGCGGCTGGGGGGGCCGAGGCCGCTGGGCAGGGCGTTGTGGGGGTCCCCCCAGCTATGGGGTGAATGGGGTGGGAGCGGTGCCCATTCCGGGGAGGCTCTCGGTGCCCCTAAAGCACCCCCGGTTCTGTCGGGCAGGGTCTGGTCCTGCTCCGGGCCTTGGGAGAGGAAAAGCTGATGCTGGAAGTGCTGGAATTCAGCGCCTTGGCCGGGTTGGCTCCCGCAGCCTGGTTAGGCCGAGCTTTGAAATGGAGTTCTGGGTGATGAGTTATCAGTGTCCTAAACGATGCTCCTGAGCCCCCAGCCCTGAGGACGTACCGTGGAATTACAGACTGCTTTAGGTTGGGAGGGACTTTAAAGATCATCCAGTTCCACCCCCCTGCCATGGGGAGAACCTTCCATTATCCCACATTGCTCCAAGCCCCGTCCAGCCTGGCCTTGGACACTTCCAGGGACCCAGGGACAGCCGCGATTTCTCAGTTTTCAGGGAATATAAAAGGCAGCTTTGCTCAGTCTTCTGTGTTTTCAACAGATGGACATTCCCATTGTTGAGAAGGGAGATCAGTGGATACGGAGATTAAGGAGTTGAGGCATTGTAGGAGTAAACCTTAAGTCTCAGTCCCTAACCAGTCTGATCTGAAGCATTCCTGTGGAAGTGTGGATAATGGAATTAAGAACAAATCAACTCTGTGACTGCCAGAGAAACTCACACGTGAACACACACACTGAAATCCCTGTCATTCTGCTCGTTCACATCAATAACTCCACTGTCACCGAGAGCAGTGTACAATGATAATGGACAAAAATCCTTTAAAACTTGGATTACTCCCAGCAGTTTGGGAGGCTGAACTCGGTGTTCCTGGAGATGACTGATGAAACAGCTGTAGGAGGAGTGGCTGAGGTCACTTGGTTTGTTCAGCTGGAGCAGAGGAGACCGAGGTCGGAGCTCATCGGGCTCTGCAGCTCCTCACGAGGGGCACTGGAGGGGCAGCTCTGACCTCTGTCCCTGGGACAGGGACAGCACCCAGGGAAGGGCTGGAGCTGTGCCAGGGCAGGCTCAGCTTGGAGCTCAGCACAAGGTTCTTCCCCCAGAGGGTGGTTGGCACTGCCCAGGCTCCCCAGGGCAGTGGGCACGGCCCCAAGGCTGCCAGAGCTCCAGGAGCGTTTGGGCAACGCTCTGAGGGACAGGGGGGAGTGTTGGGGTGTCCTGGGCAGGGCCAGGGCTGGCACTGGATGATCCTGGTGGGTCCCTCCCAGCTCAGGATATTCCACGAGTCTATGAAAATCTCTGCTCAGCTTTCTGCTGTGGTTTGTGACTGAAAGTGGCCTTAAAGTCCTCACTGGCTGCAGTCCTGGGAATGGCATCTGCGGGGAACAGATTACACTTGACTCGGGAAAGCCGGGAATATTCCTTAAGAAACAGCAAGGGAAACGTTTTGTATCCTTTGTCTCTTCATTTCAGCGGTAAAAAGAGTTCATGAACCAACAAGCAGGTGGTGCCTCATCAAGAGAAATTAGGAAAGGAAAAGTAAAGGAGAGACGACCTCTGTAATAGGAGGCTTTTGAGATCGTACTTTATACACATCAAAGACAACAAACGGAATTCTGGATCAACAACTGATACTATTTCTTTACTTCTTAGATATCCAGGTTGCTGCAGAAGGATGCAGAGCAGGAATCCCAGATGAGAGCTGAAATCCAGACCATGAAGCAGGAGCTCGCCACCATCAGCATGATGGATGAGTTCGCCAGATACGCCCGGCTGGAGAGGAAGATCAACAAGATGACTGACAAGCTCAAAACTCATGGTAGGGTGCAACGTTTGCCCCCTTGTCTAGTTTCTGAAAAACATTTTGTCAAGAGTATTTTAAATTTTAAGTGTATTTCTCCTTCAAATTTTTCTTTTTCGTCTTATCTGTTCTTTCTTTCTTTCTTTTCTTTCTTTTTTCTTTTTCTTTCTTTCTTTCTTCCTTCCTTCCTTTCTTTCTTTCCTTCTTTCCTTCTTTCTTTCTTCCTTTCTTTCTTTCCTTCTTTCCTTCTTTATTTCTTTCTTTCTTTCTGACATCAAGGTGTGATATGAACTTAGAGGTTCCTCTGCAGAAGGGTGTTTTCAATATAGCAATGAATCATTGTGAAAAAAAAGATTCTTAAGCAGTGTAATGTCCTGACTTGAGGAAGATATTAATAAATTCTCTGTAAGGATAATTCAGCATTCTAAATAATCACAGAGTAATTTTTTTTCTTTAACAGTGAAAGCACGAACTGCCCAATTAGCCAAAATAAAGTGGGTTATAAACATTGTGTTCTACGTCTTACAGGTAAGTAAATATTTTGTTATGAATACAAACTAAACCCAACCCTCAGTAGTGGCCTTGCAGGGCCTGAAGGAGCTCCAGGAAGGATGGAGAGAGACTATTTCCAAGGGCATGGAGGGACAGGACAAGGGGGAATGGCTTCAAACTGACAGAGGTCAGGGTTAGATGGGATATTGGGAAGAAATTCTTGGCTGTGAGGGTGGGCAGGCCCTGGCAGATGTGGCCCAGAGAAGCTGTGGCTGCCCCTGGATCCCTGGAAGTGTCCCAGGCCAGGTTGGACAGGGCTTGGAGCAACCTGGGCTGGTGGAAGGTGTCCAATTGGAACAAGATGATTCTTAAGGTCCCTTCCAACCCAAACCATTCCATGATTATGATTCCAATAACACAGTGCATGCCAAGTGGAAAGAGTTTCTTGAACTGGAAATGGGAGATGGTGCTGATCAAGTCTGGGAGTTGAGGATGGAAGGAGTTTTGTGTCTCTGCTTTTGGGGTGACAGGACAGGAGGCTGTCTTGGCTCTTCAACCACTGGGGTTTTTTTTCATTCATTTTACATACTGCACCGGGTCCAGGGAAGTTCTGCTCCATGCAAATGTGTTTCATTTGTGGCTTTGAAAACAAAATCTGCCCTTGCTGAGGATGCAAATGTCCCCTTGCAGCTGCCACAGCAGGTTGAGGGTCTGCCTTGATGCCAAAGAACTGGCTGCTGCTGAGGATGGCAGTGCTCACCCTGAAGATCCCCCGTGGATTTCTAGCAGGCAACAATTGGGGCTAAAAAAATGTGTGTCATTCCCCAGGCTCATAAAACTTTCCCTTGCAGGCTGCCCTGATGATCTCCCTGATTTGGAAGTACTACTCTGAGCCAGTGACTGTGCTGCCAAGCAAGTGGTTGGCTCCCCTGGAGAGGTTGGTGGCCTTCCCTACAGGGGTGGCAGGTAAGGAAAAGGACATTCCCAAGCTCTCCTGTGGATTAACAGCAGTGCTTGTGCCCCCCCCTTCATTGTGACTCCCTCATCAGCTGTGCCCTGGGTGTTCAGATCTTGTTGGTCCAAACTGGAAACCAAAATGGGCTTTTTTTTGTCCTTTTTATTCGTTTCCAAACAGCAGCTTTATCTCTTTGTCTGTGTCGAATGGAAGATTTAAATGGGAGAGATTTTTATATTAAGGAGTCCACTGAAATGGTGGAATTGGCTTTAAAAATGGGTAAATACTTCCTAAATGTGGGTGCCTTACCTGTTTTTCATGTAAATCAGAACAGGGGCACAGGTTGCAGCTGCCTGTCCTGAGGGATAAAGGACAGGCAGGACAGGGTAGGGGGGTGAATCTTCATATTTGGCTCATAAATCCTGCCTGCCTTTGGGGGAATTCCAATATATGTTGGTGGAATTGTGTGTTTGCATCCATGGCTGGTTTATTGGACAAGAGGAATCTGCCCCAGGGGGAGGGAATACTCCTTGGAAGGTTTTTATTAAATAGCTTTGGGAGGGAATTAAAAAGTGTTGTGCCCACTTTCAAATCTTTTGTCCTGGTTTATAAAGAGATCACTGTTGAATTCTAAAATCCACAGAAATCTCTGAAATCACCCAAAATGTGCTTTGTTCTCATGTTTGCTGTGAGTAACCATCTGCTTTTAAAAAGGCTGATTTAAATCCCAGGGGGAGTTTTGCTTTTTACCTCCCTCAAACCCCAAATTTACGTCCAGCCAAAGCATTCTGTGACTGGCCAGGCCTTCCAGGTGTTTTTCTCTCAGGTCCACAGCAAAAACCTGTGTAGCTTTTTTTCTTTTCCTTAGCTTTACTTTTAACACACCACACTTTGGCTCGTTTTTTGTGTGTTTGGGGCTCTTTTCCCGAGGTTTTTTTTTTGGAGTTCTCTGCCACCTCTTGGAGAGACCCACTTGGATATAAAGAGATGTTTTGTTCCTGGTCAACCTCATGATTTTTAAGCTGCATTTTGTTTTTTACACTTTCACAGTGGGTTTTAGATGAATGTTTTCCTCAGGGTTACTAATCCAGTGACTCCAGTTGTGGTTTATTGTCTTTTTTCCAGGTGGGGTTGGAATCACCTGCTGGCTCGTGGTCTGCAATAAAGTTGTGGCCATCATGTTGCACCCCTTCAGCTGAAGGAATCCCGGGAATCCAACTGCATTTTCACCATTTTCCCTATTTTAAATTAATTTAAAAAAAAAAAGGACAGTTGTTTTTCATGAGACTGGAGACAATCCTCGTTATTCTGGTTGGATATCAGTCAGTGTTCCCTTGGATTTCTCAGAAAGGGGTGGATTTGGAATTTAAGCTGGGAATGGGCTGGCACTGGGAATTAATTTGGGCTCTTTGCTGTTTCTGTGCTGGTGGTTCCACTCCCAGCACGTTTGGTGGGTGCCAAAGGGCAGAGGGAGGAGGTTTGGTTGGCTCAGGGTAAAACAGAGTTTCCTTGGGATTTTTTTACCCTAGAATTGGGATATTCCTGGGCTCTCCTAAAAAAATGAGCTATTGGTAGATGAGTTCAATCAATTTTTATGTCTGTTAAAGACTCCCTTAGCCAAGCACAGGATGGCTGGATGCTTTTTCCTCCCTGACTTTTAAAATTCACTGATTTTTTTTTCCTGGTTTTATTGATAATTGACCTTTCCTTCCTTGTTTTTTTCTGCTTCCCAAACAGGATCACTGAAATGATTTAATTCCACGTTTCACTGCAACTCTTTCCTTCCATGTTTTGGGAGGGAAGGTCTGACCAACCTTCTCAAGCTCCATTTTAATAGAGTAGAAAATGCTGTTCCTGCAGAGATGATCCTGATTTAACTTCCCACTCTGGAATTCCCACAGTGGAAATGCATCTCTTTTGTTATTCCAGGTCTTTTTTGGGGCCAAGACCCCTCCAAAATTAGCACTGCCTTTAGAAATCAGGTCAAAAGGTCGTGTTATGTTGTGTGTGTATATATGGATGAAATGTTTGTTGTTTTTTTTAATGTTAATTTAAAAATGGGGGGTTTATATTCAGAGTTACATTGGGCCAACATGCAAAAGAGATACATTAAGTATCAAGGATAAAAAAACGTTGTGATTGAATGTTATGTGTTAGTACGGTTTTTATTTAGGAAATAAAGCTTTTCAAGCCATCTCAGGTTTCCTGATCTCTTTTTTTTAATGTTTAGTGCAGTTTTCCTAAAAAAAAATAAGAACTAACCAACCAAACAAAAAACAAACAAACAAAAAACCCTCAAAAAAAAAAAAAGACAACCCCAAATCCACCAAAATCCAAACCAAACCAAGCCCCCCTGTGCATAAGGAAATAGGGCTGGAGTCAACAGGACTAATTTATTTTTTTGAAACATTTGAATTTTGACAGCAGGTTCAGCTCTGAACATCTTTGTCATCTTTAAGAGCTTTTGCAGTGTAATTTTAGGAAGTTTTTCAGCTGCTGCTGCCCTTTAAAACTACCAGAATACACCCAATTTTTCCTAATTTCACATCCTTTTTAGCAAGTGTTCTGTGAATTCCTCTGAGGAGCAAACCACAATCCTCCTGCCCTGGCTTACATAACCTTCCACACGGGATTTTGAAAGGCTTTTTGGGAGCTGGCCATGCCTGACTTCTCCCAGACAATAGTTTTACTCTGGCACATTCATCTCTGGATGTCAGCTGGGGAAGTTACCAGGCAAAGTGCTTTGATAAGTTGGGAACAGTGGGAAAGAACGAGGCTTTGGAGGTTTCTAATGCCCGGGAAAACAATGGGATGGCAAGTTATTCTGGTTGCAAGTGAGTTCTGGAAGCTGTTTGGGGAGGGAAGGAAATCAAGCAGTGTTTTCTGTGGTTGAGCTGTCGGTGCCAACCCGAGATGAACCTCAGGAAAGCAGGTTTGTCGTGAGCTCCCAAATTCCAGCTGCTTGAGGATGCAAAAGCCTGGAAGTTCCCAAACAAGGACTGATTTGGACATGTGCTAGCAGGTGAAAAAGTTAAGGAACTCTCAGTGTGATGTATTTACAACACACAGACCAAGAGCAGCAGAACGTTCTGGGACGATGTTTTGAGTGTCGTGGCGGAAAAATCACGGAAAGGAACTGCCAGTGCCTGTGAGATTTAACACACATTTAATGAAGGGAAAACACTTGGGTTTAACAGATTTAACAATTCTACATGTTAGATATTGAAGTTTTCTGAAGATCAGTTGCTGTCCTTGCCCAGCTGTCAGAAACACTCGGTGTGTCCTCAGCAGTTGGGTCGCGTTGGGCGCTTCCCGTGACGAGCTCGCCGTGGAGGTTTGGAACTCGGCCCGTGGCTCATCCTGCATCCTTGCACTTTGCTCCTCTCCCTTTGGAACCCCAAGGGTTGTCTCCCTGAGCAGCTCCTGCTCCAAAGAGTTCTTCCATAAGCTGTTTTTTCCTCTGGGCAAACGCCCCGTGGGCAGCTCCTTCCGCTCCATCCTCCCGCCTGGGCTTGGCGTCCTTCCCAAAGGGTGGCTGGTGGATCCCAAGGAATTCTGCCCTCTGGATTGAGGTGTTTCAGTGCAGCCCTGCCCTGCCTGGCCCTTCCTGCCTGCTCTGGGTTTCCTCCCTGAGGTGTGCAGCCCCTGGTGCAGATTCTCAATGGCCTCTGAGAAGGTGTATTTTTTCCTCGGCCTGGCGGGTGTTTTGTTGGGGATTGCACCGTCACTCCCTTCCTTCCCGCCCTTCCTCTGCTCCTCTCCTGCCTTTTCTCCCTTGCCAGGTTCTCCCACTGCATCTGCCTCTTGATTGTTGTCTTTCCCACCGTCGCTTTGAGGGCCTGGTTCAGTTCTCAGGAAGTTTTGCCACTCCTGTTTGAGGAATTCTCTGTATTTTACCTTTTCTTTCTTAAGCCCTGAAAAAGTGTGTTCTGCCATCAGTGGCCTGCCCTCCCTTAAGTACTCTAAAATTAAATATTTGGGGGTTTAGGAATATAAAAGGGTCAGGAAACATCAGTGAGAGCAAGTTTCCCATCCTTATTTCACTGCTTTAGTTGTTAGTGATGGTACTTCAATCTTGGGGGTTCTGACAATGCTCTTTATAATAAACCCAACAGGATGGGGCAAGATTAAAACAAGGTCATTGTGCCACTGAAAGCAGGTTAATGGCTTTGTTCTTACCTTTTTCACGATGTTTAATCTCATTAAATGAATTTAGCTGCAAATATCATCAGTGATTCCTAAATATAGGGCCAGAAAAGTCACGTACAATGCAACAGGGAAACCATGTGAGAGCTGAACTCTTAATTGTCCTTTTCTTGCTTTTGAGTGGAACTTTGATGTGTGTGGGAATTTCTTTCCCTTAATTCACAACAGGGTCGCTTGTGGAGCAGAATACACAGCAACAAGCTGAGTAGGGCTTCAGTAGGAAGGTCTGGAAGCAGCAGGGAGAGGAACTGTTTTCTGCCAGTTTTAAAAGGGAATTTGAAAGGCAAAGGGGGGCTTTGGGTACCTGGTGGGGTCTGGAAAGGCTGGAGGCTAAAAAGGCAGAGTCCAAAGCACAGGAATTAGCACAGCCCAGAAAGGAAAATTTGGATAGAGGAGCAAGAGCACTGGTGGCTTCTTCTTTCCTCTGTTCTGTAGAATTACTTCAAAATAAAGGTTGTTTGTGGTGAGTCCCTTGCAAATAACTTTTACATGAGACTTTGCATAAAATCTGTTTACAGTGATCGCTGTAACGAGGAGAAACTCCCAGACCTTGAAGTCCTGTCCCTTTCCCAGCCACAGGAATACACATTCCCATCAGCTGGCACGAAGATTGACAACCAGAACTCGGGATCAGTGTTGGATTAGTGGGGAATGAACAGCTCTCAGTTGTACTTTTACAGATAAAGCAGTGAATTTTTTACCAACTTGAGCAGGAAGTGCTTTTGGGAGAGCAGCAGGATGGAAATGTTGGATCCTGCAGAGCTGCTCTGCTCTGTGTGACATCACCTGAGTGCATCATTTGGAACCAGCTCCTGTCAGGCAGGTGCCAGCTAAACCACCAACACCACCACTGCTAATTTGAAAAGATCAGAAGAGTTTGTGAGCCAGGTTATAAAACATACCTCTGGTGGAAGTTTTTGGCATCAGTGTTCTCTTGGTTGATTGATTTTCTGCTCTCTGAGCATCTGAGTTCACTTCATTTGCTGCAGCTTCTTCATCCTTGTCTTCTGAAGGCTTTTTCTCCTGTAATTGGCAATTAGAGGTAAAAAAAATAACAAGGGAATGCTTGTTTAGTGACTTCTAAAAGTGCACTTGTAAAAAGATTAGTAATTTCCACTGCTGTTATTTTGCATCACAACATTTTTTTCCTGCACTATAATTACACAAAATCCACCTGCTGGGAAGTTAAGGTGATGGATCAGACTGTTCAGGCATGTTACTGAAAACTTTGGGAATAACATCCAGCTTGGCTGAGAGTTTGAACTGAGGGATTAGGTTTGGATCCAGATCTTTCCTACCTTTCTGAGCTGGACTGGGCTCTGTTCTGGGCCGGGGGCTGGGACAGCAGCAGGGCTCTGAAACTCTCTTTATCCACTTGGACTGCTCTGTTTACACTCACACCTGGTGGAAAGGACAGACATTGGCAGGGCAGCAGTTTCTGGAATTGCATTGTTGATGTAAACAAAAGATGTCTCTGATGATAATACTGGTATGTGGCCTAGCATTTAAACATGGTTATCTTTTAATGCATGTCCTTAATGTCCTTTAATAAATTCGTGGTTCTGCTTGATCTCTAAAGGCTGAAACTGGAGCACAAAGAGGCACCTGGACTTCTGAGCCTTTTCATCTGCACGTCAGTGCATCATATAGATATATATAATTTATATGTTTTATACATAAATATATATAAAAATATCCTACAAAGTCCTGTTCAGATAGAACATGCAAAGCCAGACGAATGAGTCTATGCACCAGATCCATATGGGCCTAATTTTTAACAATTTAAATTTAAGAGGTCTGGTATATTATATTATAATATATCTATTATATTTTATTATATTTCATTATATTTTATTTATTATATTAAACTTATTATATTATATTTATTATATTATATTTGTTATATTATCTTAGGAGCCCTCAGCTTTCAGATTCCTAAAGCTGGCCCTTTATGGAACCAGCTCTTCAGAGCAAATGTGTGAGATGTTGATGGTCTTGGGAAGAGATTCCACGGGAGACACTGAATGAGATGCCTGAAGAAATACCTGGATGGAGATGGGATGGAGAAGGCAATTGTTTGTTTATTCTATTTTTTAGGATAATTTGGACATGAGTGCAGGAGCTGAGCCAGTTGCTAACACAGCCATAAAAATGGGATTTCACCTCCATCCACATTCTCCCCTATTCCCAGTTTTGATCTCGGACACCATCGGAAGGCTCTCCATGGAAAAGGTCGCAGGTATCCAATCTGAGGATTGCCCTTCCCGCTTTTTCCAGCCCCTTTTCCATCGGGAATGAGCGGCGCGTTCCCCGGATCCGGGACTAGAGGGCGCTGCCCCCCCAGGTGAGCTGGTGCCACCTGCGCGCTTTGCCCTCGGGAAGAGCTCATGGAATGAAGGGATTCATCCCATAAATCCATTTGATTTCCCTGCACAAGGAAACCTCCCCTCAGCAATTCATCAAAATATTAAAAAACGCGGCCCCAGATTTCCTTTTCGGTTTCCTGCTGGCTGAAAAACTTTTGGGAGAAAGAACTCCGAAAAACGGACTGAAGAGACAATTCTTAATGAGTTTGTTGAAGGAGAATTCAGCAGTGAAAGGGGAAAAAAAAAAAAAAGTATTGTCAGGAATTGCAGCTTTAGGTTTCCAAATTAACTGGCAGAGAATGGGCCAAATATTCCAAAAGATTAGACAGCTCTGCTTGGAGCCTTTTAATGACATGGCTCTCTCCAACTGAGCTGCCTTGTCCTGCTTAAAAAAAGAAAACAACCAAAAACTAAAATAATAAATAGTGGTTTAAGTGCCAGAATTTAGTGGGAATATTGTATGAGGCCGTGTGGGAGTGAAATTTTTAAAAAAACATTAGTTATGTGGGAAACTGAAATTCAGAGCTTCATAAAACAAACAAACCAACAAACGTGTCTGTCCTGGGATGAGAAGCAGGAATATGTTTTTTTCTTAATTTTACACCTCAAATTCCCAGTCTTTTCCCTGTAGTTCACCTGCAGTTCAGGCAGAGCAATGGATTGGTGATGAAGGTGATGAAGAGGAAAGAAAAAAAGCAACTGAACATGACAAAACTTTGTGTTTGGTACCGTAATTTGAGGAATTCTGTGGGAATGTGCAGTTTTTTGCAGCAGATGGGTTTGCTGCCGTGTAAGTTTTAAGTGTTCTTTGGTACCCATATGGAAAAAAGTTCCAATTTCTCCTTCAGTTCAGGAGCAGGAATTTTAGGACCAGTGTTTTAAAGAGCTGCCTCACCCAGGCAAGTCCATGTTTAAATTATTCGATGCCTAATTAAGGGTGTAATTAGGGCAGAATGTGTCTTAATTAAGGGATCTCCCACAGCACTGGATGTCTGGAATCAGGCAGTGGAATCCCACTCAAGGCAGCTGCTCCTGGAATGTTTGATAGCCACAATTCCATAAAGTAGATATTTCTCCCCAATATCTCTCTGAGCATCCAGGTGAAAATGCTGTTTAGTAGAGTCCCTTCTTCCTTGATGTAACTTCATTTCTATTCTTCTTTTCTATCATTCCATTATTTTATTTTAATATCATCCCTCCTGTGCATGGAATTAATCTCTTTGAGACCATCAGACTGGCCTTTAAAATTCCTTTTTTAGCCCATGTAAAAGCACTACACTGGTATTTATTTGGGAATATACCCCCCAGTTATAAAATAATGTGTCATGTAACTAAACAGAAAAGAAAAATAAATATACACTTACTTTGCTCCTCAGGTACCAACTCAATCCTGTCCTTCAGGGTTTTGGGCATCCTGTTTGCGTAGATGTTTCTTCTATAAAGCTGCCTGTCCTTTTCCTGAGAAGAACCAAACCCAAACTTCCAATACACATTAAGAATTAGTTTTTACCACCTTAGTTTTCCCCAGGTTGGTAGAAACCTGTCAGTGACTTCACATCATTTACATAAATAAGAATCTGTAACTTTTATCCGAGTTCAAATTCTCCTTTTTTCAGGCCAAGAACACCTGCAGGATGTTTCCCATAACACAACATTCAGAATATGAAGGCTTCCCTCAGGATTTTTTTCATTTGTTGTTCTATTTTTTTTTTCCAGAGTAGGTAATTTTTTGCCTTTATTTCCCTTTTTTTAAAAAAATTATTAAGTTGATTTATTCAGTGCCCTTGTCCTCATGTGCTCAGTTGTTTTACAACCTCTTGCTCTGATGGTGCCATAAACTCCAGAGCACAATTTTAGTATTTATTTAGCAAAATTCCTCTTTCTTTCCTGAAATCTTACTGAAAAACAGAAGAATGATTTCAGCACCAATGTCACCACATCAGATTTTAGTGTGAAAAAAAAAACCAAAACGGGAGCTTCATTTATTTTGACAAATTAACAGGTTATCCTGAAAGTGTGTCCTGGAATGGGCTGGAATAAGAAAGGAGCTCAAAATTAGGAATGTGGAAGAATAAACTCAGTTCTGGCACAGAAATGAGGATAATTAGGATGTGATCAGACAATAGAAGGTTTTTTTGGATCTAAATGTAATATTAGAGAAGTGGACACACAGAGAAAACTGTCTTCTTGTTAAATTCTAATTTTACAAACATTTGGCTCATTGTAATTTGATTTTTCTCTGAGGGAGCTCATTGAAAGCGAATGTATTGACCCAGATCTGGCAAAACAGTAACACACTGGTGTGGATTTTTATTCAGTTAAAATTATTATTCAATTATTTATTGAACTAATTTGAACCTTTGACAAAGAGACCCCACAATAATTCCATCCCTTGATATTTTGACCATAGATTCAAGCAGGGGGGAAAAGAAAAAAATCCCATTAATAAATAACAGAAAAGAACAAAAGGAACAAGTAACGTTAAAAACTGGAATTTTCTTGCAGGAACAGAAACCTGGGTAAAACCTTGACTACCTTAATTTTTTGCTGCAGGGAGTTGATTTCTGTTTTCAGGTTATTTGTGATTATTCCAGCTTCCAGGGCCTTCTTGCTCTCACTGGCCAGCTGACGATTAAAGGTGCTGTTGTTCAGCTTCAGCTGCATTTCCAGACTCTGAAAAAATGATACATTTGAGCATGTGAACATCCTCAGTGTGATTGTTGGAAAACTTCACTTCTTACCAGATTTAAAAGTGTGCTAATCTGAGGAAAATTAAACTGATTGTATTATGTGTAATAGTAGTAATTATATTTATAATTATAATTATTATATCAGGATAACTATCTTTTATTGTTAACCCTGCATGAAATTGTGATGACGGATCTGAAAAGTTACTTTCAAAATAAGAAAAAAACTGATTTAAAACCTAATTTCACTAAGCAAAAGCAAAGGGATTTGGCATCAATCAAATCACCTTTCTGATAGATTAATAAATACCATTATCTCTGAGAATTCTTGAGATATTTCTGTTCACAGAGAACTGTTAACTGTGGCAGAACAAGGAGGTTTGGTGCATATGACAATTAAGCAATTTATTGAATGTATTATTGAGTATTTTCCCATCAGAACCCAGTGCCATGAACTGGAATGATGGTTTCTAAACCTGGAGGGTGGACACCCAACCCTGGGTGCTTTTTATATCTGCTCACCAGGACTTCTGTAAATTGAAAATTTTCAGAAGAGGGGCTGAACTCAGCTGTTTATATTTTCATTTTCTCTAAGATTTCTTGGCTCTTTGTTTAATTTCATGCCTAACAGACCCCATAGAAACTAGAAATTAATTCCTGAGGGACAATGGAAATGTCACTCTTCCATTTTTTTATTAAAAGCTGTCCCTATCTTGGTGTCCAAGGGTCAAATAAAGTAAAGATGCCCAAGATGTTAAAAGGAGATTGATGACCTTCTCTTAAACTTCCTTACGCTTGAGACAGATTAAAACCCCCAATATTCTCTTTTATAGGATTGCATCATAATCATTAACGTGACGAGAAGCAGCCAAAACCTTCCCTCTCTTCCTGCCCTCAAACCTCTCCTGGTGGGGCCCTTCCCAGCGGGACATTCCATGATCCAGCACGCCCCAAAGCCAGCAGCGAGCAGCTCTCACCTGGATCCTCTCATCCTTTGCTTCCAGCTTCTCAGTGAGCACCGAGAGCCTGTGATGAAGCTCCTCCCTCCCTGCCAGCCCTTTGTCCTCGGACAGCGCCAGCAGGGCTGTCATAGCGTCCTTGACTTTCAGCAGCTCCGTTTCCACCTTCCTGAGCTCCTTGGACGTGGCTCTCTCCGATTCCTGGGACATCTTCAGGAGGTTCCTCAGATCCCTCACCTCCTCGTAGTGCCTGGCCGAAATATCCTCGAAGTAACTCTCGGAGCTCTTGTACTTCCCGATCGCCTTGGACTGTCTGCACTGGAGCTGCCTCAGGGCGAGGTTTTCCAAGCTGGAGGCTTCGATTTTCCGCTGTAAATAGGCGATCTCGTTCTTCAGCTCTTTGATTTTGTGCAGCCTCGCCGATGACACCCTGAGAGCCGCTGCGGTTTTGTCCTGGCAGGTCACGTTGCTGTGCAGGGTTAAATAGGAGCAAGGGTGTGTGTGTGGAGCTGGGAATGTTCTTCCTCCTGCGTTGAGGCCAGAGGAAAGCAGAATTATTAGGTGGGAATTATTAGATGGGAATTATTAGGTGGGAATTATCAGATGGGAGTTATTAGATGGGAATTATTAGATGGGAATTATTGGGGTGGCTTTTGTGCTCACAGAATCTCCCACACTGCTCATCCAGCTCCACAGCACTGGTGGATTTGACAACATTCCCAAAGCCCCCTCTGCTCAATCAGCGAGGTCTAGTGGGAGGTTCCCTACCCGTGGCAGGGCGTTGGGATGGGATGATTTTTAAGGTCCCTTTCAACCCAAACCATTCAGTGATTTTCTGATTCAAGTATTTCACGGGTAAATCCCTGAAATATTTGGCATCCCTGTGTATTTCTGGGCAGCAATGTGCAGATAATCAGGGTAACCTGCAGGTCTGCAAGGGCTCCAAACCCACCACGATCCCAACCAGCACATGCTGAAAGTTCCTGCAGGTGGGATTTCCAACCAGCTCTCCAGAACTTTCCATCCAGCTTTGAATTAAACTATATTTTTTTAAAAAACATTTTTTTACAGGCTCATTAGCATAGAACAGGTGTATTTGTGTGAAGGGTTTCTAAACAGGAATTGAGAAATATATATTTGTGGGCTACGTTTTGCTGGGAGTTTGTTGTGATTTATGCATCACCTGATGTTTTAGGGATAAAACAGGCAAGGTCAAACCTAAAAAAACCACCAAAGACAGATCTTTTCAAGAATTTCTATTGAATCCAGTGTTTTCTGTAGCACAGTTCCACTGCAGGAAGGCTACAAATGTTGTCATGCCAATATTTACAAAATTACCTTGTGATCCTATTTTATTTTGCCAGAATGGAATGAGAGGATGGAAAAGAGAAAATTCCTTCCTGTAAAAGCTGTCAAAACCACTATAAAATCTTTATATTTCATTTCAAGCAGTCACGAACAAGTAAAAATAACCACTATATCCAAATTATATATATATTACAGTAACCACTTTATCCACTTTTATACATATATAAAATAAATTATCCAATGCAGGTAGAGGCAAATAATGATTCTTTTGCTAACTAGATTTAAAAAAAGTCATTATTCTTTCTGGTCTGCTTGTTTCATGCCATTCTGACTTCTAAGAGCAGCATTTAACAGATAATAGCAGAGATAATCAGTGGTTTGGCTGATCAAGATGAGGTTTTGAAGCCCAGCAGGAAAAGGGTTGTTGGGTTTACACTCATTTTTTGATGTGGGGTGGGAGGATGTAGGAAAGGATGGGTCTAGATGTGAAAACATGCAGACATGGAGTGATTCTTCACTGCAATATTTACATAAATTCCATGTACATTCATGCATTTGTTTTGTATGGTCATTCTGGTGAGGCATAAACTTCATTTTACGTGGCTAAGTGGCCAAAACATGTGGGTTTTGGTTTTTTTTTTTTTGGTAAAAAGTGACACTTCTGTGCATCATTTTTAATAATTTTCTTGATGAAAGGCATTTTCAGGCTCACCACGAGATGCAAGGTCAGAAACCAAAATATGGGAGATTCATTTTCAATCCCCCAAGGATTCCAGAGGTGCTCCCACACCCCAGGTGATTATCCTGCCTTTTGGATTGGGGAATAACACTGTAGAGAATCTCTCTCTCTCTCTTCCAACCCCTTGCTAGTGTTTGAAACATGAGTTATTGTATTTCCTCACTGACAAACTGCTTCCTCTGTTTTCCTAATCACTGAAAAGAAAGGGAACAACTGGATTTCTCAGAAGAGTCTCACCATACCAGAAAAAAACAAACAAACAAACAAAACCCACCTTTTTTATCCCCTTGGGGGAAGAGACACTGACCTTTTTTCTTATTTCCCGCTTTCTTTGGGCCATTTTTCTGTGGTTTTTTCTCCTCAGTTGCTGTTGTTCCCAAGGGTTGGCTGCCCTTGGCTGTTCCCGAGTGGATCACCGGCAGAGCCCTCGGGAAGCTCAGTGGGACAACATTCCCCTGGCTCTTCTCTGCTGGGTGCCCAAAAATCATGACCCTCCTCCAGCTGCTGCTTCTGCTACTTCTGTGCCTTGTGGTGGTGGGGAATCTTCAATTTCCCCGATTTTGGAGCCGCATTCCAGCTCCTGGCAGGGGAAATCCAGAGGGAAAAATCACCTGAGTTTGCTCTGTGCTGTGGCAGAAGGTGGAAATCAGTGAGCTGGCAGGGATCAGAACCTTGTTGAGTGGTTATTGAGTTGTTTGCAGGTCACATAAACACCCAAAAGTGTTCAAATATGTCAACTGATCCCAAGAAAAAACTCAGTTCCCTTAAAAAAACACCTCTTTAATCCGTGAAAATAATTGTGCAGTCTGTAATTTGTTTCCAAAATGAACTGCAATATGGAATATTCTGGTTTTAGCTCAGGATTTCATATGATACCAGCCTGTATATTTTTTTTTAAAGATTTGCAAGGTATTTCCACTGAAATGGAAGTAGATCCCACACTTTGCTTCCTGTCATGGATACATTTTCTCCAGGATTCAGTGTAAAGGAGTGTGGTTGTATTTATTCTCAACACCTACAGAGTGAGTTACAGTATTTAAAATAAAGGAATTGTTCGAGTCTCCAGAAGCTGAGTGTTTCTACCTGTGCTTTTATAGCCTTTTTAACTTCCCATCCACATCATAAAAGCATCATTTAGTAATATTTTGGAAGAGTTAGGTAGTGAATCAGATCACAAAGTTAACTTCTGCATTAAAATAGAACAAAACCTGCCTTGGCTGCCATATTAATATTATAGGGTATTAAAAGGATATTTTAGTTCAGATGGATTTTAACAAGCAGCCTTCCCTAAAAAAAAAAAAATATAAAAGAAGATCATTTTGGAACATTCTAACTCCTTTGTTGGCGTTTTTGCTTTGTGGTGGCATTTCCTTTTAAATTGTTAAATTAAATTTCTTTCGGGAGGGAGGGGGATCACGTCACTCCCCAGGAAAATTAAAGAGTGTAATTCAGGACTGCACAAAACATTTTAGGTTCAATCAAAACAGCTTCATTACTCTTAATTCCTTTACAAGAACGACTTTTCCTTGTGGGATACTGAGGAATGCTGAATGTGAGGCACTGCAATAACCCCTAAGAGATGAGAAATCATATTTTGAGAATTAGGCAAAGCCCAGCTTGGCACACAGATTTGTATTTGTGTTTAAATTTGATTTGGCTCTGCCAACAGTTTCTGGGCAATTTGTCTTTAAATCAAATTATCTGAAATGAAACTTAAAAGGCCCTGCTTTAATTTGTTTTGATGAGGAGTGTGGGCTGAACCTCATCATCCAGCTCTGCGAGCAGGTGTTGAAAAGTAAATAAAATGGAAAAGGAGAAGACAGAAAAACAAAAGGTGGAGGCCAAGAAACAGAGAAATGAAATGAAAGATATTGCAGTAGAAAAAAAAAGCAGGAGCTGAAAGGGAGGCTGGAATGGACATACACCAGGAGAATTTATGTTGACAAGATGCAGGAATAAAAATAATTAGGGCCAAATCCATCTGACAGGGATGAAAATGCCATTTCAAGCATCCATAAACCCCAAAACTGTCACAGGGAAGAATTAATTGTCACCTGGGTGCAAAAAAAGAGTAAGTAAAGGAAGGGGCAGCCCAGGCAGGAGAACAGGGTGTGAATTCCAGCCCCACGGAGCAGCAGCCGAGCCCGGAGCCCTGGGGGAGCTGAGCCAGGGGCTGAGCCCCTCTGCTCCATAAGGAAGGGCTGGGCTGTGTCCAGGACCTGCCACTGGCTCCTCCAAGGGACCCCTCCAGCCCAGCAGCCCCAGGAACACAGGGATCCTCAGGGTCTGGTGGGGTCCGACCACCTCAGGAACCTCAGAGCACTGACAGATCCCCCCATGTCCTGGCAGCCCCCTCAGTGTCCCACCTGGAGAGCCCATCCCACACCCAGCCCCACATCCTGACAGCCCTTCCCAATGTCCTGGCAGCCCCCTCAGTGTCCCACCTGGAGAGCCAATCCCACACCTAACCCCATGTCCTGGCTGTCCCCTCAGTGTTCCCACCTGGAAAGCCAATCCCACACCCAACCCCACGTCCTGGAAGCCCCATCAGATGTCCCACCTGGACAACCAATTCCATACCGAGGCCCCACATCCTGACAGCCCTTCCCAATGTCCTAGCTGTCCCCTCAGGTTCCCACCTGGAAAGCCAATCCCACACCCAGCCCCCTGTCCTGGCAGTCCCCTCAGTGTACCCCCCTGCAGAGCCAGTCCCACACCCAGCCCCATGTCCTGCCCCCCAACCTGCCACCCCCTTGCTCCGCTCTCCCTGTCGCCCTGTCCTCCCACCTTGTCCCCTGCCCTCTCAATAAATCTCCTCCATCCCACCCCGCTCTGTGCCGTCCCCTCACGGCCTCCCGGGCGTCTCTGCCGCCGCCATTACCGGCCTCCTCCGTCGCCGTTGCCGTGGGAAATGGCGGCAGCGCCCCCAGACCGGGGTCTCACCCCTTCCCTCCCTCTTCCCTCACCCTGCACCCAGCAGAGGTGCCTCTGTGTGTATTTCCACCCTCGTATTTCCATACCCCACTGGGGTATTAATGGGAGTTTGGTAACACAGGGCCCCGCTGTGCCATGGCCATGGGGGCGCCTCACGTGTGGAGTCACGGCCTGCGGCCCTCAGAGCTCGGTGACCAGACAACAGGCCCAGAACTCGGGTTTAAACTAAACATTCCTCTGTTGAAAAATGGGGGAAAGCCCTTCAGAATGAAGTGATGTTTTCCTTGGGGTGGGAGTTGTGTCCTGAAGCCCTCACCTGCCATTCCCTGTAGCTCCAGGAATGGCTTCTCCACGTGGGGGTCGGTGAGTGTTTCAGGGGCGAAGCGGAGCAGGAATGAGAGTCCATTGGCAACTCTGCCCCAGAATTTGACTGTGGACGTTTGATGGTGCAAATATTTACAGCTTTGAGTATAAACTGAGTATGCAACTTGCTTGTGAGGGGAAGAGGAGGGGCAGACACCGATCTCTTCGCTGTGGTGACCAGAGACAGGACCCGAGGGAATGATCTGAAGTTGTGCCAGGGCAGGTTTAGGTTGGATCTCAGGAAAAGGTTCTTCTCCCAGAGGGTGGTTGGGTGCTGGAACAGCCTCCCCAGGGCAGTGGGCACAGCACCAAGGCTGCCAGAGCTCAAGAAGTGTTTGGACAACACTCTCAGACACATGGGGTGACTCTTGGGGATGGTCCTGTGCAGGGCTAAGAGTTGGACTCGATGACAGTGTGGGTTCCTTCCAGCTCAGCATGAAATGATCAGCATCCTTATCACAAGGCTTATCAGTATGCTTTGATGCCAGTGACCACTGCAGCCTTTGGTTGTTCTTCTTCAGAGCACTAATAACAAAATAATTGGAAAACATTAAATTCCAAATGGCCCGTGGTCTCCCAGGCTATACCCACATCCAAAATCTCCTGGGAAACAAGCATGTAAAACAACTTCTGGCAGTAAATTTTGGTTTTTCACTTATGTGGGTTTTTGTTGTTGTTGTTGTATTACAGGAAAATGCTCTGAAAATACCTGCTTTTAATAGGCTTTTTGCTGGACCTCCTGTTGTCTCTCAAAAGTAAAAAGAAATGACAGATGGTGAGCCACACAGTGTAAACTATCCATAGTTTTATTTTTAGTTTTCAGCAAGGGTTTTCAGGATCCCAGTTCCATACATGGAGTACTGCATTTCCAGCTTCACATAAGGGTTTGCATAGACAAAAAAGCTTCCTTTTAATAGCATCTTTACTACTTTAGTGCTATTTAGTAGTGCATTTGGCCCTACCTAGTCAATCCTAGAAATAAAGTGTTATATTCCATTGTGAGTGTTTTCAGGACACTGCTATAGTCAATCTTAACATGTGAAGTTTAAGATATTTAACATTTAAAAACCTAGACCAGTTTCACCTCTGGCACAGGGACAGCCTTTACTGAGCTCACGTCGCTCCCTTACAGCAGAAACAAACTTTGCCCTTCAAGTTTGAAAGTAATCTGTTATCATTTAACATTCTTAAAATACCTCTCACGCTCAGAGACCTCCTTGAGCAAATATGTGCAGGCAGCCACCGAATTGTGGCCATCTCTGGGGCAGAAGGTGACAAACAGATGGAAAAAGAGCATCCTGGATAAAGAGCAGAATGGGATGGTGGGGTGTCCCAAGTATTCCAACCCTCTTCTTTCACCTCGTGCCCTGGAAATTTTCACTGGTGATGCAAAAAGAGGAAGAAAAGGCAGCTGCAGGTTCTGGGTGCATGGAATCAACCAAATCACCTCCCTCAGGATCAGGGGGGGAAGTCCCCGAGCCTGCAGCGAGGACGATGAGCTGAACTCTTTAAAGCCGAGAGCGTTCATAACCAAGGCTCATTTCAACGTGCTCTCTGCTATAATTACTCCTGCATCTACGCCCCCCTTGCCCTCCCCTTCTCCCTTCCCCTCCTATAATCTGAATTTTGCAGCTCTAACCCCAAAGCCTTGCTGTGATCAGGGAAAGGGCACGAGCTCTTTAGTGCAACCCGCCAGCTTTGGGATCGCCCCCAACTCCCTGTCCCTCCTCACTCGTCCCTTCCCCCTCTCCCGAATATTTCTCCAGCCCTGTCTCATTGGTGCACTACTCTCCCTTGCCTTTTTTGGGCTGCCACCCTGTCAATCTAGTGCAATAAGGCCGGGGGCAGGTGCAAACCCCTGGCTGTGGCTCCTCTTACGGACCAATCCTCGTCCCAAAATGCCTGAGAGCCAATGGAGTGGGAAAACCTGGGAGCCCGGGGAGAGGGAGAGGGCAAAGCTGCTGGATTGCCTGGGGGAGGGGGCATCCATTTAGGAGCGGGGTTAGCCCGGGAGCTGCCGAATTCCTCTTGGGATCGTGGGGACTTGTGGACAGCAGGCTCTGCTGATTCACTTCCATCGCTGCCAGCATGGTGATCAAAGTGTTTGTGGCCACATCTTCGGGCTCGACAGCGGTAGGTGACTGCTTTAACATCCTCTTACTGCTGGGATCAGGGCGGGGAATCAGCCCAGAAGATGCCAGGACAGAGCTTGCATTTGAGAAAAAAACAAAACCACTGGAATTCTTAGCAGCAACAAACCTTATTTTTATTGTGCACTGACCACCTTATCCTTGAAAGCTGCTCAAGATGTGGAGAGTTCCTGGTGGTGCAGGCTGGCTTGCATGAGAGCTTTTCCCACAGTTTTGACATTTACATCTAAATTATCTGTCATTTAATAGATTTACTGGTGTTTGGAAAAGTATATGCAACATACATTCACTGAAGAAGGACAAAGTGGATATTGTATTTGCACAGAAGCAAAGTCAGGTTATCTGCAGCAGAAAAAAAGTGTATTTGTTTTTAAAAGAGGCTTTGAGACACTCCCCCTGCAAAAGGGGAACTCCGGCTGAGAAAGAGCCTGGAGCTGAATTAAATTATGCAGGAAAACTTCTTCCCCACTACCCTCCCTTTTCCTTGGGTTTGGGGAGTTTTTTGGTTTGCCTGGTGGTTTGTCTTTTGGGGTTTTTTTTTTGGGGGGATGTGGGTGTCTCTTGAAACATTATACTGATGATTTTTAGCAGTGAGTAGCTGTCAGCAGGGAGTATCAGCTGAAGGGAAGGGCATGGCAATAGTAGGGAGGTTGGAAGTCCGGGGGAGGTGGGAACCGGGAAAGGACTGTTTCCTTTTATATCCAGTTCCCAGATGGGCTCAGATTTCAGTTTTCCTCTGGCACTCACTCACTGCCAATGACATGGCTAAACAAACTGGCTGCTGCTTGCACAGGGCTGTAACTACATCTCTATCTCCCTGACACCACCTCCATGTCTTTAAGAAGCTTCCAGAGTGGAAAAGCTCCAAAAAACCCTCCTTATTCATGGAACCATCGTCTCTAGAAAATGAAACGGGGATCGCTCACCAAAATTCCCATTTTAATGCTGCTGAGGAGCTTTGCAGCTCTCCCACTGAACCTGACGCTCTGAATTTACTACTGACATGTAGCATTTCTTCTTTTTTATAATGAAATAGAAGGAAAAAAAAAGAAAAGAAAAGAGGAGGAGGTTGGAAACTTCAGGGTTGGTAATTTGGAATTGTCCATTTGCTGCTTGAGGAACTTCATAAGTTGCCAAACTCTGAAGGCAGTTTGTGTTCCTGTTGCTGATGTAGAACTGCAGTGCCAAGTGTTCCATGCTTACTGATGAATGTGGATGGGAGGAATCCTCTCAATGAACCTTTAATGAGTTTTCAGTCGACATCAAATAAAATTCCCCCGTGCAAGGAGTTAGCACAAAATTCAGTGTATCACTAAAATCCTATTAAAAGAAAATTTTGCATCAGCCTTGTACACACTTTTCCCAAGAAGTATTAATGTAATCCCTAAAGAGTTGAAATTGGAAGTTTAAACCATCCCAGGAGCACTGGTGATCTCTTCAAAGTGCCTGATCTCCATCAGATGTGTGGTGCTGAGTTTGAATTTTCAAACAGGATGGGTCCAGCCTCCTCTGGTTAAATCAGATCACTGGTAAAGAATGAAAATAATTTCTGTTCTATGTACTACATGGTCATCCTACTCATTATTACTTGTTTTCATGTTAATAAATACCTTGTAAAAGTGTCTGCAGTGAACCCAGTGACACTGTGGTGCTCTGGATCAGATGCTTGAATGCTGTGGCTCTAAGCTGTATTTTTGCCCTTGAGGATTCAGAAGTTTATTTTAAATATCTTCAGCTTTATTATCTCTCTCCTCCCAAACTTAGCTGATATTGAACTAGTCATTAAGTGGGGAGCTTATTTATAGCTCTAAAAAGCACTGAATGCTTGGTTTGGAGCAAGTAGTAAGAAAAATAAAATTATTTTGTTGTTAGTCACAGAGGTGTTTAGGGATTGGGAATATCCTGCAAGGTTTTAAATCATGGGAGAAAGAGGGGTCAGGTCTTGCAAAGTCTTGCTTGCTGCTGCTAATGGTTGGGCATCTCTAAAACCCTTTATTCCCAGTGATTTTGGCGATGTTTTGTGGACTTTCCCCCCTTCAAATCTGCATCAAAAGCACCGTGGGCAGGAGGTGAGGGGGAAATTGTACCACTCTGCCCCCTCAGGTGAGAATCCACCTGCAGAGCTGCCTCCAGCCCTGGGAACAGCACAGGGAGCACAGGGAGCTGCTGGAGAGAGCCCAGAGGAGGCACCAAGAGGATCCCAGGGCTGGAGCAGCTCTGCTGGGAGGAAAGGCTGGCACAGCTGGGATTGTTCAGCTGGACAAGAGAAGCTTTGGGGTGACCTGAGTGTGGCCTTGCAGGGCCTGAAGGAGCTCCAAGAGAGATGGAGAAGGACTGTTTCCAAGGGCTGGAGGGACAGGAGAAGGGGGAACAGCTTCCAACTGTTCCTCTTGCTGTAAATTGTTGACCATTTGCTTCTGCCATGGCAGCTGATCAACAGGAATGCACTGGATTGTGAACATATAGATGATAATATTTCATTAGCCATCAGGTGAAACCAGTATTATCCGTAGCTTTTCACAGAGTCATGGAATGGTTTGGGTTGGAAGGGACCTTAAAGCTCATCTCATACCAACTCCCTGCCATGGGAAGGGCCACCTTCCACTAGCCCAGGTTGCTCTGAGCCCTGTCCAACCTGGCCTTGGACACTTCCAGGGATGGGACATCCACAATTCCTCTGTTCCACTCTTCCCCTCTAGCCAGACAGAAATGATTTAAACCAATGGTTTATTATTTTAATGGACCAGCAGCCAGGGATGGTGGAACTTAAGCTTTGTTGAAAGGGAAAATGGCACTGATGAAAGAATATCCTGCTCACCACCACTTTCCAAGTAATCTCTGCCCAAGCAATTTGAATTCTTCCCGTGCCATCAGACCCAAGTGGGGACACAAACAAGCTCCTGCCATCTCATCCCTTCAGGGAAAATCTTCGCTCGTCCTCTGGGTTGTTCCATCCTCCCTTTCCCGCTCTGAGTGCTGATTGCTGGGGACGTTCTTTCGGTTGCCCAGTGCTCTGTGCCCCCCCCCAGCAAAGGTTTGCTTTGTGCTTTCACACTTGGTGTGTGTCCCAAGTGTTTGCTCTGACTGAACCCTGCCCATGGGGAGCCTTGAGACACAGCCCAGCTGCTGCCTGGTTTGTTGGTACTGTCACAGTAATAAACACCTTGCCTTTTCCTTCTGCAGCATAATTCCATGGAATTTACTGCTTTGCCTCAGCAGTAATTTTTTTATGCAGCCCTTGCCTGATTTTTGCTGTCAGACCTGCTGCTGCCTGAGCCTCCTGTGTATTATGAACCTCGAGCTGAAGAAGGATTGCTAAGCCAGGTTTAGAAGTTCTATCTCCAGCCACAGGCAGGGGAGCACAGAATCTCCAGCTCTGTTTCCACCATCTCCTCAGAGGCACTATCCGTGTGCAGCTATTCCAGGAGATGTGTCTGCTGCAGTGCCTGTGTCCAAGGGGACAAGCTGACACTGGAATTGCAGCTGACAGCACTTGAGTTCTCTGCCTGTCAGAGCATGTGATGGAACTCCTGGTACTGGCTTGTGCAGATTTTATTAACCATTCACACAAATATTGTTCTGCCTCTTCCTCCAAAAAAATCCCTTCTGCCGCCCGAACGTGTTCTGCAAACAACTGCTAATGGCCATTAATAAAATTATCTCTGAGAAGTTAAAATACGAGCATAAATAAGCACCTTTGAGCTCTGTCAGCTCCATGGGTTCTGACCACTTTGGATTAGTGGTTCCACTCAAAGTGATGTGCTTTTTTGCAGCTCACCATAAACCACTATTGCTGTCATAAAAATGTACAGCATTTTATGATTGTTATTTTTTACAAGCAAGCACAGGTACTTTTTTTACTCACACAAGGAGAACTTGGCCCTGAGATTGGCTCAGTCAGTGATAAGAACACCAGGGCTGGGGGATCAACCCCCAGACGTTTAAGAGCTGGACTCAGCAATCCTTGTGGGTTCTTCCCAACTCAGAATAATCTGAGAAAATTTGTTCTCATTTATGCCAATTCATTCTTCCAGGATAACAGGCTATCACTCTACTTCAGCTCTTCTGTTTTGTTAGATTACAGAAATGCATAACCCATGATTTTATTTCTCGTTTCACTTCCCATCTTGGACTGATTTCCACCAGCTTGGTGTCATTTAAATTCAGGTGTTCAGATGCCTGATGTGTGGAAGGCGTGGTTTCAAACCATGAGATGGCTCATATGTCAAAATTACCTCGATGTATCATTCTGGCTAAGTCAGATGGCAAGTTCCTCTAGTGTGGTTTAGGAGTAGCATTCCTTTATTAGGGAATTCTACTGAGTATTACAGCTCCAGGGTAAATGGATGGGATATAGGCTTGATGTCTGCATCAAGGGCCAGGACAGATTTTTTGGTGTCACAGAAACTGTGTCCAGTATGTTTTAATTGTATCTGACCTGTTCTTCCTGGTCCAACCTCAGTGTCACTCTGCAAAGGGAAATCCTGAAGCACAGGAGTTGAGCTCTACTGGATCTTCCTGAGCTTTCACTCGGATTTAGATGTTATATATCAAGGAGTAATGGCCATAAATTAAAACACAAGAAGTTCCACCTCAACATGAGGAGAAACTTCTTTCCATGGAGGGTGAAGAGCACTGGAAGAGCTGCCCATGGAGGGTGTGGAGTCTCCCTCTCTGGAGACGTTCCAACCCCACCTGGACACGTTCCCGTGTCACCTGCTCCAGGTGACCCTGCCTGGGCAGGGGGGTTGGACTGGGTGATCTCCAGAGGTCCCTTCCAACCCTGATGATTCCATAATTCTGATTCTGTGATATTTAATTACCCCTCAGCATTAAAGAACAGGGAGAAACGTGGCTCCTGGAGAGCCAAATGTCACATGGAATTAGCAGGGAAAAGGAGGCTCTCATCTGTTGAGGAGCATATTTTTCTCAGAGCTGTGCTGACCTCAGGCAGGATTAGCTCAGGTATCTGTGCACCACCCTCATGGATCTGGGAACAGAGTGGGAGGCTTCCTGCTGAGCCTCATTTCCCAGATGGAGCTATCAGTGCTCCCAGGGAGGGCAGAGGAGCTGGGGGTGGATGTTCAGGGGGGGTGGCAGCACTGTGGGTGCTGAAATGTTTGAGGGCTGCTGAATAGCTGGATCCAGCTTCAGGAGCTTCCAGCTTTCAGGAAGAATTTCTTCACTGAAAGGGTGGTCAGGCCTTGGCAGGGAATGCCCAGGGAGGGGGTGGAGTTCCCACCCCTGGAGGCGTCCAAGGAAGGACTGGATGTGTCAGTGCTCTGGTCGAGCTGACAAAGTGGTGATTGGCCAAAGGCTGGACTCGATCTTGGAGTCTTTCCCAGCCTAAATGATCCTGGGATTCTGTAAATTTGACATACCTGAACGAGTTCCTGTAACAGCAATTTTCTTTTTAAAGAAGGAACGCTGGTTTTCCTCTTCCCTCCCCAGATAAAAAAGAAGCAGCAAGAAGTCGTGGGCTTCTTGGAGGCCAACAAGATTGACTTCCAGCAGATGGACATAGCAGGGGATGAGGACAACAGGAAATGGATGAGAGAGAACGTGCCAGGTGAAAAAAAGCCTCAGAATGGAATCCCCCTCCCTCCCCAGATCTTCAATGAGGAGCGGTACTGTGGGGTAAGAAACTGTTTGGATCTTTAAATACCTTCAGAGAGTTGTTTTACTAAGGAAATGACCCTTTTCCATTAGTAGGAAGTGTCAAACAAACCCCTTAAGACAATTTGAGGTTGGCTGTGAAAGAACAATCCTCAGGAGGAACTTTTTAAGCACAGAAAAGCAAAAAAAAATAAAAAACACCAAAATATATTTATTTTCAAGAGCAGAGCACACATGGAGGAAAAACATTAAATTAATTTTGCACGGAAAGTGTTGATATTTTGTTTGTTTGACACAGAACTCATCTGGGCTGTCAAAGAGACATCTGAGGCACCAGAGGCTGTGACCATGAATCTTTCTTTTCCATCATGTCCTGCAAATAAATAGGGATGATTGTTTGCTGGAACACTTCTAGTACGTGGTTTGAATTGTTGAGATTATATTGCTTATTCAATTAACATCCAGCTCTTCAAAACAGACCTCGTGGTACTCATCAGATACTTTTATATTTTCATATGTGCTTGTAACAGCTTCTTCCTCTCGAGACAGTTTGTTCAAACCACAGATAGGTAGGACTGTGCCAGGCTGAATATTAGGATTGGGAGTCAAAAGAGATAATCTGAGGCCTTGTTTTCCTCCCAGTCTGGGTGGAAATGCGAATTGCTGTGATGTGATCGCTGGAACCAACCCGCAAAGCGCCCTGAAATGCAGCTGACATAGCGAGCCCAGTTTTAAGTTACTGCACAAATCCAGTGTGAACTACTGCAAGGTTGGACTGGGAGAGGAGGGATTTACATGCCACTGAGTTTTTAGAATTCATTTCGGTGCTCCCAGAGCAAAAGTTGGTGGGAAAAGTATTGGAGTGCAGGTTTTTTTCCCCTCCTGTTTTCTCACAGGATTCTTAAACCAGAACTTGGGGTGTTGGAGTTCCTGTGCCTTTCAGCACCCAGTCTGCACCCAGGGAAAGTATAATCTGATATATCTTACTCTAGGGTTTGTGGCAGCCAACGCTGCAATAAATATTTCTGGTGTTCCCTGCAGAGTTTATATAGGGAATTAAAGAGTAATTGCCTTATAAAGTGCTGCAGCTGGTCAGCCTTGCCAGTAAATAGTAAATACAAAGTTTTTATTCCATGTCTGAAGCTATTTCAGGAAGCCAAACAATCTACATCTTGAAATAAATAAATTGAAGTGAAGAAATAGTCCTTTTGCAAAGACACCTCCATGGGGGAAGGAGCTGCAGCTACTGATCTAAAAACTAAATCAAATTTACAATTAGCCAAGAACTCTCCAGAATTCTAATGCAGCCAGCTCCCAAAGCTCAGAGCTAATGATCCCAGTGGGTGCAGAACAGAGACTAATTTATGGCATCATTATTTCCAAATAAATAAGGTAATGAGATCCCTATCAGCACAGGAGCCTTTCCCTGTTCCCCAGGGAAGGAGTCTCAGGGAAGCTGCCCAGGGAGTGTGATGTGACGTGGGATGATGTGGCTGCTGCAGAACATGGCTAGGGGCTGCCACAGCTTGGATTTGTACCCAGTTCAGACCAATTTCCTGCTGTGCCCAAATCACCCTTCACCTTCAACAGCTGCAATCCCAATGTATTTGTAAATGGGAATCACACCCTCTGTTAATCTCCATTTTGCTGTGCTTGACACGTCAAACTCCTTACATCTCTTTTCTTTTTTTTTTTGGTAGGATATTTTCCCTTTCATTTTCTCAGCTTTCTCTCCCTACTGATTTTTAATTCCTTCATTCCCAGGCAGGACTACTTCTGTAGGTCAAATATGATAATACATTTCATTTCTGCTCAGTCTTCTTTCCTCTTTTCCTCCCTCACCCTGAGAAAGAGAGATTTGGAGAGAGACATGACAACCTTCAGATAGGATTGGTCTGAATTCAACACTGGCCCTGCTTCGAGCAGGAGGTTGGACCAGTTGTTCTCCTGAGGTTTATTCCCACAGGAATTATCCCATGCTCCCAGGATTTTTGTAAAACGTCTCCTGCTCCACACCCACTAGGGGTAGGACAAGATGTATGAGGAAAAAGGGCAGTAAAGAAAGTTGGAGTCAGAAAAGGCACAGTTTACAGGGGATTGTGTCGTTATCTCCTTGAAGGTCCTTACCAGTGGCTCAGGGAAACACCTGCCAGGAGCAGGGTCATGGTTCTTGCCTCCACAAGGAGAAAAGCTCCTTGGAGACCTTCTCCAGTGTCCTCTCCTGCACTCCAGTGACATACTGGGAGTGGTGGTGGTGGGAAAAGAGGGGATAGCGGGGACAGGTGAGGAGTCTTCTTTTTCATGCTGGAATAGAGTGGCATAACGGGCAAGTAAATGCAGTCCTGCTGCTTAATCTGCTTTTCCACTGATATTTTTATCCGTCTTCTGGAAAACCACTTCCCAACTTATTCTGTAAAATGGGAGTTTCTTAGGGATGCATTTTCATGAAGATACATAACTAGGAGCAGCTTTTCCTTGAGGTCAGAGAGGCTTAAGACTGTCTTATAAATAGCTCAGATCTTGTTTTTTTCTCTCAGATTTTGGTATTGCCACTTGAGGAAATAGATTACAAATGGATTCATTCTGTATGCCCAGCTACAAGTACCCATCCTAATCCATCAGTGTTGGCAAATATGTCCTTATTTGATCTTTTCCTTAAGCTGCTTCTTTGCTCATGTCTAGACAGAGTCTGCATCTGTGTCACTTGCTAAATATACTGAGCACTCTGTTGCTCTTGTCTTTGCTTTGGCTTAACTGAAAAAACTCCAGAAAACTAGGAAAGAAATGGAATGTAAACTTCTGCTTTTCTTTGTGAGCTGAAATCTCTGCTATTCTCTGTAAACTGAAAACTGTAGGAAAAAGTTCCAAAGTACATACTTAGGAAAAAAAAAATCTCTGAATTATTAGACTTTTATTTGATGCTGCAGTGTGCACCTGCAGCCCAGAAACCAAACTGGGCTGAATCCAAAGCACTGTGGGCAGGAGGGCAGGGGGAGATTGTGCCCCTCTGCTCCCTCAGGTGAGACCCCACCTGCAGAGCTGCTCCAGCCCTGGGAACAGCACAGGGAGCACAGGGAGCTGCTGGAGAGAGCCCAGAGGAGGCACCAAGAGGATCCCAGGGCTGGAGCAGCTCTGCTGGGAGGAAAGGCTGGCACAGCTGGGATTGTTCAGCTGGACAAGAGAAGCTTTGGGGTGACCTGACTGTGGCTTTGCAGGGCCTGAAGGGGCTACAGGAAAGATGGAGAGAGACTATTTCCAAGGGCCTGGAGGGACAGGACAAGGGGAAATGGCTTCAGGTTGAAAGAGTAGGTTTAGATTAGATATCAGGAAGAAATTGTTGGCTGTGAGGGTGGGCAGGCCCTGGCACAGGTTGCCCAGAGAAGCTGTGGCTGCCCCTGGATCCCTGGAAGTGTCCAAGGCCAGGCTGGATAAACTTGGAGCAACCTGGGCTGGTGGAAGGTGTCCCTGCCCATGGCAGGGGGTGACACTGGGTGATGTTTAAAGCTGCCCTGCTCTGACAGCAGGCTGCACTGCCTTGCCTCCAGAGGTCCCTGTATTTCCATGTATCTGGCTGTAGCAGTTCCATGAATGACAGAATCACAGAAGGGTTTGGGTTGGAAGGGACCTTAAAGTCAGCCGGTGTCGTCCTGGGGCTTTGGCCACCACAATTCAAAAGGACTCCAAGGGTGGTGTTTCCACACCCTCTCTCTGCTCTCTGACCTGGTGTCCTACCAGGCATGTGGGGAACAACTTCCCACTGATGTCCACCTGACAAATGACACCACTCCCCTCCTCCTGGACTGTTTATTCCTTCTCACACAGATATAACATTATTGCTTACCTGAAAGTGCTCGTTTTTCCTACTGCCTGCCTTAGGAACGTTTGCTTTGGTCACCACTGGGAAAGCGAGAGAAAAGCTATTCCATGATCACTGGAATCATTCCTTTATCCCTCACCTAATACATAACAGCTTCCTCCTCAGTGTGAGGAAAAGTGTGACCTCCCATTTACCGTGAGATGCCACCTTTCCTGTGGGATGTCAGTGCACATTCCCTGCTGCCAGAGAACATCTGATGTGATGGAAGATGTATCCCCTTCTGATAAGGGGTTGTCTGGTCATTCACACCTCTTGCTTTAGCCCTCGGGTCTGGTTATCTGCAAGGCTGAGTGTTTTGGGTGATTTTTAACACACTTGCCATCTGCTGCTTTTCCTTAAAATGATGCATAAAACATCAAGTCCACTTCATGGCCTGTCCTTTTTGCTGCCTTCTCTTGTTTCCCAGCTCTTGGCACGTTATGCCACAGTTTGCTCAGGCTGTTTTGTGAGTGTGTGGCACGTGGAGGACACGAATTTCCTGTGTTTTCATGGCCATGTCACATGTCCCAGCCCTTGGAATTGCAGAAAATCCTTCTATTTTTGTTTGTTACCCCTGAGTTCCTGGGTGAGGCTACAGACACTGCCTGGCTTAGATGAGAAGGGGAGTCCCACAGCAATAGGAGAACAGCAAAAACAGATCATCTGAGCAATGAGTGGCCTGGGCCATCAGCAGGTTTTCTGCTCAGCCCAAAATATGCTCCAGGGCTGCTCCCAGCACTGCAGTTCCCACTGCTCGGGACTGTGTGAAAGCCAATCTGTCCCCCAGATAAATTGGTGAATTGACTGTCATTTATCATGTCTGTTAAGCTCTTCCAAACTGGACTGAAATGTCACTGAGTCCAGTCTTGTTGACATTAAGGTGACTCCTAAACCATCCACTCTGGCTTTTCCCTGGGATTACCCCTGGCCTGTAATTTATTCCCTGAAAACGCTGTAACAGGGCAATAAAACCAGTGGGGTCTAACCCAGCTTTACAAACAAGTTCTCAGGGGTGACTCAGCACCTTATTATTTACAGGCTTCTATTTCTGGAGGTATTTGGGATTAGAGGGAGGATGATAACATGGCCAAGGCAGCAGTGGAGGACTCAGCAGATGGGGTCAGTCCCCTGTCCCAGACCTGGGGTGACTGTGGGCCAGAGTTTCTGCTCAGATCTTAAACACACACTGATTTTCACCTGGGCAAGATGTGAGTCCTGAGCTTTCCAGTAACCAAACAGTGACAGCAGAGCTTCCTTAACTGAGAGGTGAGAACAGCAAAGACCACACACGTTCTAGAGGCAGGACAGGAGCCCTCCCTCACATCTTCCCAGTTATGTTAGCACTGAAAACAGGCATTTGACATGAGGATTTATCTGTCCACGTGTGCACAAGACACTTTGGTTGCTACAAACGTGTCAGAGGGAACAGCACAGCCCCTTGATCTGAAAAATATCAGTATTTTCTAACCAGGGTGCCTTCCTTTAAAATTAATTTGCCCTGTCATCATTTCACCTGTGCTATCATGTTGAGTGTTGTCTTTTATTTGCCATGCCCTGGGTTTTGAGGGCCTGTTTTGTGTTCTTACTCCCAGCAGCTTTCAGCCTAACCTTTAAGTGGGAATAGTTTGGCCTTGGAGTGCACAGCTGAGGCACATTAAAACGAGACACTTTATTTTATCTGATTCTGGAATCCATGGGATATAATTAACGTGTAAGTCTCTTGGAGAGGTTTGCCCATTTATTAATTTTATGGCCTATATGAAACTCTCTTTATCTGTGTTTTCTTCCTGGGGCTTAGATAATGCAGGCAGGAGTACAAAGTCCTGGTCATTCTCATCAATATAAGATTTACCTGGGCTGCTCTCTTCCTCCTATGCTTTTTATTTGATTTTTTGATGCCAATTCTCTTATTTGTTTGTTTGTTGGTTTTTTTCTTTTTAGGATTTTGAATCGTTTTTCTCTGCCAAGGAAGAAAATATTATTTATTCATTCCTGGGCCTTGCTCCTCCTCCAGGCACCAAGGTATGCGCTGCTGTCCTTCCAGGGGGGATCATTTATTTGATTTTAATAAAAGATGAACACAGGCAGTGACTCAGCATGTCACAAGCAATTCTTTAGATTCTGGTGCAGCAAAGTGTTGTTTTGAGGGGTGAGGGGGAAGTGGCTGCTTCAGTAAATAGTAGAAAATCCTTCTTTCCCCCCTTCTTTCACTGCAGGCTTGTTACCATGGCTCCAGCTGATGGTTTTGTTGTTGTTGACACAAAGCAGTATTTTATCATGTTCAGCTCTTAAATGATGCAGAATTTCCTGCTGCAATTTCTAGGCTGGGTTACGAGAAACATGCCCTTCCAAACAGGGTTTGTCCTGGCCCCCCAACAGCAGGGCTGAGGAGGGAAAGGCTCACCCAGGACTTCACCAAGTCTCTCTGGCAAATCTATCCCTGGTTCTCCATCCACTGTATTTTCACAATGTTCTAAAATATTTCTGGTGAAAGAAAAGAAAAACGTGTTATTTTGAGGGGTTTCTTTTTCCACATTTCTTTTTCGGTGTGTTCTTTTCATCAGAGTCTTCCTCTGTTGAGAAGTTTCATGACACAGAGCATTACAGCTCCCTTCTCCCAAGATCCTGTCAGAGGAGAATAAAATCTCACCACCTTTTGTGGGCAATTCAACCAAAGAAATTAATCAGGAGAGCGAGGAGAGAGCTCTGCTCGTTGTGGTGACCTGGCTGAGGAGCTGCCTCGGAGCAGCAGATCTGCCTCCTGGTCCAACTCTGCTGCCAGCTCTGCAGCCCCTGGCAGTGACACACGGCTGTAAATGTCCCTTTTTATCCTCTGCTGGAAAAGCAGAGAGGGAAAGGAGCCTTTGGGAAGTGCCTGCAGAGCTACAGCTGAAAAAGGCACCCAGGGGAGAGCCCGAGTTGTTGTAAATGTCTCTGACACCGAGGCCCTGTGGGATATAAGGAGAGTCATTTAAACTTCCTGCTTTAGCTGTGCCATCTCCCACCCAGGGAAATAAAAGGGACTCGCCTGCCTCACAAAGGTCTTGGGAGAATTCCTTTAATTAACATCCACAAAGCCATGAAAGGCTTCCAGGACTGCAGGTACTCCATATTATAACCATTATAAAAGATATGTGGAAAATCAATGAGATAAAGAAAATTGCATTTCCCCACCTTGCCACTTCGTAGATTATCTGCTCCTTCATGCAGGGCTCAGTTAGATACCGTGTCTATGAAGCAAAGTAGTAATTTTTTTAGAATTCATTCCTTCCCAGCTGGCAGCAGAGGCTGTCACAGTTCCTACTTCATGACAACCTTGTAAATACTGAAAATAATATGTTTGGTGCATTCTGCTGGGCAGATTCCTGCTAGTGCAAGTGTGCTTTACGCTGATTAACTGCTCCTGGGTGGTGGCTCCAGCCCTGAAAGTGGAAGATAAGCGGGAGTGTTTGCAAAAAAGTCCATGTGAAAAGTGGGATTTCTGCCTTCTCCCTTTCAGAATCTGTTTCTGTACAAGTGTTTCAGCTTTCCTTGCAGAGGTGTCTCTCTCAGCACCTCTGCATGAGGGGCTGGCTGTGCTTTGTCACACAAATAACCTTCCCCCTCTCTCAGCTGTCACCTCAGCTTAGCACAGGCACAGTGGCTGGCTCGTGACAGTGACTTCCAGCAGCAGAAATCCGGGATAATAAGTCAGGTGTGGAAGGGATGGTGATGATGGCACGTGGGACAGAGTTTGCTTCTAATCCCTTCTTTAAAAATGGTGTATTTTTTTGGTCTGGGATGTGGTGATACTTTATCAAAGAAGCAAACTGTAAAGCATGGAATCACCACAGGTCAGTAAGCGCTTTCTAGGCATTTTTTACTAGGGATTAATCCTTATAAGATTAATATGAACGTTTTATGCTCTTCTCTTAAAGTACTCTACTTCTTTTTCCATCCATCCTCTGTCTCACACTGCACCAGGAGTAGAGGAGCTCTTTAATGACCTCAGTGCTGTTTCACAGCACAGTCCAATGGGATGATCCAGGCCTGTCCTGAACCCATTTCCTAAAGGAAGCAGATGAGCCTTTTGTGGCTCCCCAACAAATCATAACCTCCCAACAAAACACCTGCAGTGAAATTCTTCACCAATTAATCGCCACTGGTCACTGCAAAGTGCACATTTCAGTCCTGCAGATCCTCTCTGGGCAGCCCTGACTTCCCCCAGGGTGGCGTGGCTACAGCCGCTCACCAGATCCACTTGTTTGCACTGAACACTCACTGCCCAGTGCTGGAGCTGGGCTGGTGCCAGAGCTCAGTGTGCAGATTGATCTACACTTACAGAGGGACTGTAGAGACTCTGCTGTGTCTGGGACATGTCAGAGTTGTCACCAAGGTGCACACTGACTCTGAGACACGTGTAAAGAAGCTCTGAATACCCACAGGTGTAAAGGAGACCCTTCTCACATCAGCAGCAAACACAAAGCAGCCTGTACACACTGTTAGTTAAGTGTCTTCTTACTTATAAAGAGCTGCAATTGTTTCAGTAGGAAATATCAAATAAACATCAAAGTTAATCAGACTGGTTGTGGCTTTTCTGGATATCAGTGTACCCTGGGTACTGTGGTGCTGCCTCCAGGGAGCACAGGGAGCTGCTGGAGAGAGCCCAGAGGAGGCACCAAGAGGATCCCAGGGCTGGAGCAGCTCTGCTGGGAGGAAAGGCTGGCACAGCTGGGATTGTTCAGCTGGACAAGAGAAGCTTTGGGGGGACCTGAGTGTGGCCTTGCAGGGCCTGAAGTAGCCGACAAGAAAGATGGAGAGAGACTATTTCCAAGGGCCTGAGTGAGAGGAGAAGGGGGAATGGCTTCAAACTGCCAGAGGGCAGGGTTAGATGGGATATTGGGAAGAAATTGTTGGCTGTGAGGGTGGGCAGGCCCTGGCACAGGTTGCCCAGAGAAGCTGTGGCTGCCCCTGGATCCCTGGGAGTGTCCAAGGCCAGGTTGGACGGGGCTTGGAGCAACCTGGGCTGGTGGAAGGTGTCCCTGCCCATGGCACGGGGTGGAACTGGATCATCTTTAGGGTCCCCTTCCAACCCAACTCATTCCATGATTCTCTGATTTTATGAAACCAAGCACATCTTTATCCTCAAAGGGTGCAATGTGCCCATAAAATTCAGTGACATTGCAGGAAATCAATAGATATCTCTGGCACTTCAGCAAGGGCCAATTAGCTCACATCATCCTCTCTCCTCTTGCCTCCCCATCCCACTGGGTATTGTGTTTTCCAAATTCACAGGGCTGAGCAGCACAGTTTTATGCTTCTAAGAGAAGCAGAAGATATAATGCTTGTGGTAATAAGTAATTTAATCTACTGATATGAAATACCTTATCTCCTGAAAGAATATCTGGGCTAGAACACTCCCAAACACACTTCAGGGCAGGCTGGGATTCAAGGGCAGCTGCACTTTATTCCTGACTCCAAGATCACTGAAATCAGTGATAGATTTCTCGAGGATCCCATTTAATCTTGGATTAGTGACATGAGCAGGGATGTCCCCACATAAGGGGTGTGCACTTTTAAACTGTAATCAGTGCAGGTTGTGGGTTTGGGGTCAGGTGTGTCAGTCTCAGCTGCTCCCAAAGTTGGGGATGTTTCTTTTCAAAGCCACTGCCACTTCTATGCTTTCAGTGACCTCAGTGACTTACCTGAGCAAATATATTCAAATATTTTATTTAAATAGTTTAATTGTATTTAAATATATTAAAGCTTTAATCTTAGTATTCTTGATCTTAATATCCGGAATCTTGATATCCCAAAATCCGCAGATACTTGAGCTGAAGTCTGTTAGTGGAAGGAGGCTTCTCCTAAGTTTGCTTTGAATTACAAATTGACAGTGTTGTGCATTCTATTTAAAGAGAAAATGCCCTGCCAGCCAGTCTTTATGAATGGTACTTCCTTTGGAATTTGTGGAAAATCAAATCCCGTGTTTCTGTGGAAAGTGAGTGTAATGATGGCATTCCCAGTGTCAGAGTTCTCCAGGGAATTACCCAGAGCTCTGGATGTGTGTGTGTGTCCTGGCTGATAACAAGCTGCTTCGAGACTTTAGTGCTTTCAGCTACAACTCTCTTTTTTTGCCCTTTGAGCTGAGTAAGTCTGTGATTCATCTGAGGCAGATTTCCACAGTGGGTTCATTTTCATTAGAATGCCTTCTTTGGTCTCTTACGTGTTTTGTGGATCTGCCAAAACGAATTTAGTGTGTGGATTTTAAAATGTTCATATTCACACTGAAAAGAAATATTGAACTTATTTCCAGACCAGGCTCTGAGCAACCTGGTGTGGTGGAAGGTGTCTCTTCCCATGGCAGGGGTTTGGAACTGGAGGATCTTTAACATCCCTTCCCACCCAAACCATTCCCTGATTCTCTGAATTCAGTTTTCATTAACACCATCCTTTTCATTTTGGGAACTTCTGCCAAGAAAGTATCTCTAAGAAGTCGTCATTTGCTAAAAAAAATAATGTGTTAACACGATGTTGCACAAGAGAATTTCAATACATATTTATGTTACAACATATTTTCATCTTCAAATATTTTGTTGGCCAGCTGGGGGAAAAGTCAAAGGTAAATTAAGCCAAACAAATGCTTCTGGAGATCTCCTTTTAATAACAATGCCACCAGCATCAAGTGCAGTGAGCCCACAGTTCTACGTGGACCTGAAATGAGACAATATTGCCAGAAAAAGAAATTATCTTTCCTCCTTCCTCCTTCCTGCAGCTCCTCCTGCTCCATCCCAGCTGCTCATCCCTCTTCCTGAGCGTCCCCCACGTGCTGGCAGAAACATTCCTGCAGCTGTGTAGCAGAGTGTGAAAATGGTGTGGGATAGAAATGTTTGGCTTTCCAAAGCTTTAATCTTGATCAGGCTCCTGCTCCAGTTGGAGAGGAAGGGGAATTCAGGAGCCTTTGTGCCCACTGTCCTCTCTCTGCAAGTTCCTCACTTGTAAAACTTATTTTCCATAATTCAGCAGACGATTGCCAGGACAGCACCAAATCTTACAGACAGTGAAGTTTCAGGAAAGAAGATCCATCCCTAACCTCCTGCCTATCATTTTTGTCCCCATCCAGCAGAACTGGCCACGGGTCTGTGGGATAATCATCTGGTCATTACTGGAGGCTTTTCTTTGACAGATGAAGCTGTGGAGAAGCAGCAGAACTCCAATGGAAGCAGGGGATGAGTTGTAAGGGTTGGGCACAGGGAGGAGGAAGGAGCCACTCTGCTATCAGGGAGGAGCTGCTCTGCCCAAAGTGTGCAGGACTCAGGATGGCACAGGACAAGACCTCCCCTGAGCCCAGCTCTCTGTTGCTGGAGCCAATTTGTACTCATTTTGCATCTACCTCAGAGCTCTTCCTTATCCTGTCCCTCCCTGATGTTTACTCTGATCTATTTTGGGATACATCACATCCCCTCCCAGCATCACTTTCAACAGATTAAAGCAATGCAGCTTTTTTTGTTCCCCCTTTCACAGGACGGGCCCTGCACTCCCTCAGATGTCCCTCCAGCCCCCTCTGCACCTGTTCCAGTCTGAGCTTCTCTTTCTTGAGCCTGAGTGACTGGGATGGCCAAGAGAGACCCAGAGGACACATCTGAGAGTCACCCCCCCTGAATTCCCTCTTTCACTGTTCCACCCATGGCTCAGTTGTTCTGTGCCCATTTAAACACATCCATCTTCTCCTTCCTTTGACCATCCCTGACCAACAGGCTCCCAAAGTGCAACAGGAAAATCTCTTTCTGGCTGAAAGTACAGCAGGACTTCAAATAAAGAGCCTTCTAGGAAGTGCCTGGTGGCAGTGCTGGAATAAATAGACTTGACCGACTGCTGTGGGAACAATTTTTCTCATGTTTTTCAGCAAGAAAGTTGAGATTACACATGAAATCCTCTATTATTTCTGTTTTTCTATAGCTTCTTGATGACCCTTAATTGGAATTCCTGCTGGTGAAAAAGCTTTTTTTTTTTTTCTGAAACCTGAATGTGCCATCAGGTTGAACATCCATTCTATTAAATTTTCAACAGAAAAAAAGTTAGAGAATCTACTGTGCCAAGAAGGGCTTGAATTCATGTTTTCCCCACACAATTCGTGTTTTCCCCCTCACAATTCATGTTTTCCCCCCACAATTCGTGTTTTCTCCACACAATTTGTGTTTTCCCCACACAATTCATGTTTTCCCCCTCACAATTCATGTTTTCCCCACACAATTCGTGTTTTCTCCACACAATTTGTGTTTTCCCCCTTACAATTCATGTTTTCTCCACACAATTCATGTTTTCCCCGCACAATTCGTGTTTTCTCCTCACAATTCATGTTTTCCCCACACAATTCATGTTTTCCCCACACAATTCGTGTTTTCCCCTCACAATTCATGTTTTCTCCCCTCACAATTCGTTTTCCCCCTCACAATTCATGTTTTCTCCACACAATTCGTGTTTTCCCCCTCGCAATTCATGTTTTCTCCACACAATTCATGTTTTCCCCACACAATTCATGTTTTCCCCACACAATTCATGTTTTCCCCACACAATTCATGTTTTCCCCCTCACAATTCGTTTTCCCCCTCACAATTTGTGTTTTCCCCACACAATTCATGTTTTCCCCCTCACAATTCATGTTTTCTCCACACAATTCGTGTTTTCTCCACACAATTCGTGTTTTCTCCACACAATTCGTGTTTTCCCCGCACAATTTGTGTTTTCCTCCTCACAATTCGTGTTTTCCCCCCACAATTCGTGTTTTCCCCCTCACAATTCGTGTTTTCTCCACACAATTTGTGTTTTCCCCCTCACAATTCATGTTTTCCCCACACAATTCGTGTTTTCCCCACACAATTCGTGTTTTCCCCACAATTCGTGTTTTCCCCACACAATTCATGTTTTCCCCACACAAACCCCAACAGATCCCCACGCCAGTGAGTGCTCCTTCCACAGGAACCCCCAAAGGGTTGGATTTTCATTTGAGTGCTGCAACAAAATTAGAAATAAAAACACCCCCAAAGTGGTAAAGGGAAGAATTTGATGGAAATGAGTTGCTGATTATGTGCTCTGAAGGTGACAATGACCTCTCCTTTGCTGCCAGGAGACTGAAAAGTCTGATGCCAAGGAGGAAAAGTCAGATGCCGTGGAAGAGAAGTCTGAGGCCACAGAGGAAAAATCTGAGGCCACGGAGGAAAAATCTGAGGCCACAGAGGAAAAATCTGAGGCCATGGAGGAAAAACCTGAGGCCGTGGAGGAAACTGAGGCCCACACAGAAGACAAGGCAGATGAAGGGGCTCCTGAGGAGGCTCAGTCTGATCAGGCACCATCAGAAGATCAACAGGTAACTTTTCCCTTTGTGGTATGAAGGTTTTTAACCTGTGCCAAGCGCAGGAAAGATAAACCCACAGGTCCCCTCAGTGTGCCCGAGGGTGGGAAGACTGATTGCAGATGGGTCCTACTCGTCTTCTGGGTGCATTTTCTTTGATATCAGGATGCTATGAAACCTGCATTAATAACTTCGTGGTTTCCTTTTGCCAATTGCTACCACAAGCTTTCCTGATTTTTTTTTTTTTTTCTTTTGGATGGTCATTTGGAACCAGACTCTAGTTACGGAATATAATTTAGGACTCGACATCTGAGTCCTGCCTGGGTGGAAATAAAAGATTGCCAGCATCTGCAGTGCTCATAAATCTCCTTGTTAATGTTTGCTGCAGATCTGACAGTGGCTCCTCCAGGCTCTGGAGAATCCCCTGGGTGTTGGAGAAACAGAGAGCAGCCTTTTCCTTCCTGTGGGGTCATGGTCTGACATTGCAGCCACGTGGGCACATCTCAAACTGCAGGGCACCCACAAGGGAGGGTTTATTCTGGCATTAAAGGGAGGGTTTATTTTGATGCTGCAGTGTCAGGTGACCCTTCCCAAGGAGCCAGCCCTGTTGCAGCACCTGAGCCCTCACACTTCTCAGTTTCTTTTGTGGTTTGGAGATGAGACCATCCCAGGGGAATATCTGTCACAAATGCATCCTCTCTTTCATTAAAGACCAAAACAAATGGTTCTTTTTAATTATTTTTTTTCTTCCGTCCAGCTGCAATGTTTTTCCAGAGGAAACCCCTCCCTGTACACCTTTCCTCATTCCCCTTATTAATAATGACTGACCCAGTCCCTGTAGGGCTGGAAAAGCCCCTTTTCACAGCCTCCTGCCAGCCTCAGGAACTGGGAAGCCCCATTATAGTTTCCAAATGTTGATGAGGAGATCCAGCCCTCAGTGGGAACAGACATTCCTGCTTAAATTATGCCCAAGCCCTTTTTAAGTCCCAGTGAATTTCAGCTGACACGTGAGTGCCACTGAATTCCTTTGTCCTTGGCTCCCAAGAGAAACCCAGCACAAAACTGCAGTTCCTCCCTGGCTGGGTTGGGTTTCTTGCCCTTCTGGCTGCCAGTGTGCTCTGATGTTCCTCAGATGAGGGCAGAATGCTGGAACACATCTGCAAATGTGTCAGCAGCTGTGTCTGAGGCTCTGCAGTGACATCAGGCAGCAGCACTCCTGCACAGCCAGCACCTTGCTCCCCTCCTCACACAATGGGTGGGAGCTGGAAGTGGGAAAATAGATTCTCCTTCAGTTTCCCAGGCAGGGGAGAGAGCACAAAAAGCATTTTCCACCCTGTTCCACCGCCCACTTCTCATGTCACCCAGGACAAATCCTTTCAGCGAGGTGGCATCTGCCTGCCTTGCTCTAGCTCATCCCAATTATCACTTCTGTTGGGATGGCATGAATCATTCTGTAGGAATTCTGGTCTCCTCATTCACTCCAGACAGCACACAGAGGGCAAGTTTAGATGAGAAGAACAGCTCTGAGGCAGCTACAGCAAGATGAATTCCACCTTTTGTCTCTGCGAAATGCCTATAAAAGAAAGTCAGAATAACATTGTCTTACCTGCTCAGGGTTTTATGAAGATAAATCCACTGAAAGACTGTCAGGTTGCCATTGGAGTATCTCCACTGGATTTTAAATCCTAAAGGATACACATAGTAACAACACAGAAAAATGGAGAGGTGGCAGTTTAATGTTCTGTGTCTGAGTTAATCTGCCAGTGGGAATTTAGTCTTGGCATTTTGGCCCTTTTTAGCACCAGTTTCAAACCATTTCCAAAATGACTCCTTCAAGCTGGGTGTAACCAAGCCAGCTCTCCTCCAGTGACTTCCCCAAAAACTGATGGAACTCCCATGAGACTCCTCAGGCTCCAGCAGCTCCAGCAGCTCCAGCTGCTCCAGCCCCTCATCCACACAAGAACCCTGGGAAGCCCAGAGCTGATGCTGGGATAGAAAGCTGCTCCCACACACCCAGCAGTGACAGGAGCAGCTCTCAGCCTGGGCCACTGAGAGACCTCTGCACTCAAATTTCTTTAGATTGTGGAATTTTGCTTCACCTTAAACCTGTTGCCAAACATTCCTTCCCCAATCACTTGAGCAAGCTCAGCCTTAACTTCCTTCTAATCTCTTTTTATTTTTCATTCCTAATCCCCACCCTCTGATGGAGAACATTAGGAACCATTTTGTTTGGATTTAGTATCCCTTTCCCTGCTTTGTGTATCCATTTATCTCTGAGTTTTTTGAGGAAAGGACCCCGAGCTCCTCTGCACGTGGAGCAGCAAAGGCTCTCTGCTGGTCACAACCAGCTTAGGGTCTGACATTAAGTTCTATTCACCATAAATTTATATTTTTTTCTTTTTTTTTATCTCTCTCATCACTTCTGCTCAATGTAGAGCCTAAACCCAGCTTGGATTGTTCCTTATTCCCCAGCCAAGGCATCTGTTCCAGCCTACAACACTTAACACAACCACCAGCCAGATTCTGAGCGATGAAAACTAACACAGATAAGACTCTCTATAAATCTGATTTAACTTGCATTTTGCAGACCAGCTAATTACCAAAAAACCCACAAAACCTCCCCCTGAACGAGCAAACAAAAGCTCAGCTCTGAGGCTTTGCTTGTCAATGAAGCAGATTTGATTGAACCGAGAAAAATGGAGCTCCATTTAATGATTTTATTGCCCTTTTCCTGCAAAAAAGCTTAGTTTAAATGTGCTCTGTGAGTTAATCTGGAGCACATTATCTCAAAGTGAATCCACTGAATGCCACATAATTTCCCTAAATTCAGTGTTTGATTTTTGCAGTGGTTTTGTCCTGTATGACCTCTGCTATTCTGTCTTTGATTTGTCTTTTTAACATTTTCTTTTGTGTCTCCTATGTAGGAAAGCAAGGAAGAGCATGCAGTAACAGGGGTAAGTGTTCTTGGACACTTTGTTTTCACCTTTTGTTTGTGGGCATTTAATTCCCTTTCAGTTCCATTGCTTCACTCAGAACTTGGTAAATCCTTATTCACAAAACTAAATATAAAATTCCATTCTGCTGGAGATAATTATTGGTCATATCACAGCCTTATTGTCTGGGAACAAAGACAGGCCTTTAACCATTAAAAAAACCCTGTAAATGGAAGAAAAAATTGCCTTTCAGAATCTTCAATAAAATTTGCCAAGGACCTCCAAGGCAACTCTATCTTTGACAATCAGTGACACCAATATATGGGTGATATTCCTTTGGCACAAGAACTTCTAATCCAGCTGACCTGTGTGGGTGTTCATCCTGCCTTTCTGGTTGTGCAGGGATAATCCCTCAGTGCAGTGATTTTCCCTGAAAAGTAATGATTTAAACCAGGAATCTGATTCCAACAGGTCCATTCCAGGCACAAGTTTAAGCAGGATTTTACTCCAGAGATTCAAGTGTGGCTCTTATTAAGACAGGAGGTGCCTGAGGGGAAAACCAAAGGTCTGAGCTGCTTGTATAAGACCTGCAGTCCTGACTGAGAACTAATTCTGTATTATTTGATAAGTTGATTATGCCAGGAAGGAATTCTCATCACTTCTGCAGCCCAGACATTACATGAAGAGATGGCATTTTGATATAAAGATTATTTATCCACGTGGGAGTGCCTTTGGACAAGACTTTGCTGGAGGAGAAGGAGCAGAAGAGCCTGCAAAGCAATTTTCAGTTGTTTTTCAGGACAGAACAACACTCCAAAGCTTCATTTACTCTTGAAAGGCAATAAGCACAGGTTGTTGTCTGTGTTGCACAAATTCAAGCTTTCAGATAACTGTTCCTTTGGTTGACTGAAGCAAAGGGCTGTTGCCTTCAAATTGTGCCATTTCTTCCACATAAAACAGAGAAATAAGTTTTGCAGTTAAACCAAGGCTGTATTATCTGACTCTGATTGATTTTTAGATCATTCAGGGGTCCAGTTCCTGTGCCGTGAATCTTGTTCACTGCTCCAAGAAAGCACATGATTAAAAATACTAAACTTTTATGTCATGTATTTCACATTCCCATTTTGATCTTGAGCATTTATTTGCAGCTCAACCATGCACTGTGTTCCAACCTCCCTGAGAAGAGAGTTCTTCTATTCCAGCACTTGCCTATCAACTCCACAGACTAAAGCCCTGCAATGTGGAGATTAAAACCCCAATGTGGAGATTAAAAAGCCCTATACATTACAAGCTCTATACATTAATTCTACTTTTTAATCTCAGAGGATTTGCTAGAAACAGAACAGTTGCAAAAGCAGAGCTCTGCATTTCAAGACTGTTTATTTTTTCCTTGGATTCCTATGAGGTAACTACAACTATTTTCTCTTAAAAAAAGGAGGAAGAAGAAGAGAAGCAGGAAGAGGGAGAAGAAAATGAGGAGGTGGAGGAGCCAGAAGAGTCTTAGTGCAGCTCCCTGTGACACATTATTTCTTGAACAGGTTTTCAGGTAATTATTGAGAAATTGAGCACAGCTTGTAAATATTCTTAAAGTAACATAAACTTGATAAAGAGGTCAGTGTTAAGTGCCCATTAGAATCATTGCAGCTTCTCTTCCATCTGGAATGAGAATTATGAGAATTCCTCCCTCTCCTCCCTTACTCAGCTTCTGATTTCACTGACACTTTTAGGAGCTTCACGTCCCAAATGAAGCCCTTCTCTCAAATTTAGTTGAAATGTTAAAAAGAAAATTACTGCTTGAAGGAGAGAAGCCTGACCAGAAATATGACACAACATAATCGTTTTCTGGTTGCCTTTGAAACTAGACCAAGTTTAATTCCAAACAGGAAGGGCCTCTGGAGGTGTGTGAGTGTCCAAGTTCTCTCCAGTTCTGTGGTTTCACATCTTTATTTTGTGATTCTTCATCCTGCTGACCCTTCTCCTCTTCACTGAAATATGGATCAGGCAATAACTTACTGGGGAAAAGCTGTCAGCCTACAAGAGAGCTGGAATTGCCAGCAGATTCTCCCTTGGGAGTTGGGATTTCCTCCCAGCCACAAAGTGAAAAGTGCTCTTTCTAGACCTGGGGGGATCCATGGAATCATGGAACGGTTTGGGTTGGAAGGGACCTTAAAGATTGTGTCATTCCAACCCACCTGGCATGGACAGACATCTTCCACTAAACCAGGCTGCTCCAAGGCCCATCCAACCCGACCTGGACAGGATTCCCTGCTAATTCAGACTTTGCCAAGGATTTCACCAACCAGATGCTGGTGGGGCCTCAACAGGACACAAAATCCATCTTTTCTTTCACATTACCTCTCCTAGATCTGAGTTCCTCTGTTGCATGGGAATTAATTCACCCCAGTATTTGCAGTGTTCAGACATGTAAAATCATTGCTGAGTTCTGACCTAATTGTCTTTATTTCTGCTCAGGAAGCACCAGCTGGAGCAGCCCCGCCAAAGAAACTAAAATCCCTCCCTCGAGCAAACCACCACTACCTTTTGTGCCTGTAGACTTCTGAACCTATAAATGCATAGCAGAACACACCACTGTGTCCTCCCTGTGCCCTTTATATATATATATATATATATATTTGATAATCAAGTTGCTTGTTCAAATGGGTCTTATGTCCGATGGATCACATTTCGGTCAATTGTTTTATGTTGGAATAGTGTTGTCCACGTCACATTTTAAGCTCCTCAGGGCAGGAACCACGTCTTTCTCCATGTTTATGCACTGCCAAACACTTTGCTGTCACTCAGCCACAGGGATGTCCTCAGAGAAAGAGAAATTCAGCCCCCAAAACTGCAGAGAGGCTTCCTGTGCACAAGCCATGTGAGCCACTTCTCCCTCAGCTGGCACGTGAAAATGATTGAGATTTCCACTGTGCAGCAGTTTAAATAAATGTGTTTTCTGTCATATCTGCTCTTTGTCTGCAAAAGTGTTTATTTAACCCTTCCTACAGATGTTTTGTCTGTTGTTGTGGGCCAGGCAAAGTCACGGAATTATAGAATCGTAGAACAGCTTGGGTTGGAAAGGACCTCAAAGATCATCCAGTTCCACTCCCTGCTATGGGCAGGGACACCTTTCACTAGCCCAGATTGCTCCAAGCCCTGTCCATCCTGGCCTGGGACACTTCCAGGGGTCCAGGGGCAGCCACAGCTTCCCTAGCAACCTGTGCCAGGGCCTGCCCACCCTCACAGCCAAGAATTTCTTCCTAATACCCAATCCAACCCTAATCTCTCGCAGTTGGAAGCCATTCCCCCTCGTCCTGTCACTCCAGGCCCTTGGAAATGTCTCTCTCCATCTTTCTTGTCAGTCTGGTCTGAGGGAAGACCTGGGGATGTAAGAAGAGGTGCAGAGAAAACAGGAGTTGGAGAGGATGAAACAGCTGCTCCCTGAAGGGACTGAAGAGACTCTTCAGTTTGGAGAGGGAGCCAAGCTGCAAAAATCATAAAGGCAGGGCCCAACACGAGTGCAGAGCTGTGAGTCAAAAAGTCCTGCAACACCATGATAAAAATGAGTGGACACAATGAAATGAGTAGATCAGCTCAAAAGAGATAAGAGAGAGTGTGGGGAGTCAGGAAATTCTGGAATTAGCTGTCACAGGACGTTATAGAGGCTGAAAATGTCAGTGAGCCCAGGAAGGTATTGAGCAGTGGTAGGAACAGGAGGCTTGGAAGTGGATCCTACAGCCACCAATAACCCTAAACCCAATAAATTGTGGGTCAATCCCTCTGGAAGGGTGGTAAAATCCAGTGTTTGCTGTGCAACAGCTGGCATGGCCACGGCAGTCTTGATGTATCCATGAGCTTCCCATGAACCATGGGCTCCACTTTCCCCCAGAAACAAAAAGCACTCAGCACATCAGGGAGTACCAGAGGCTCTGGGCTGGAAACAAAGCCCGCTACGCCTGTGAAGGCAAAAGTAGAGCCACCATTTTCTCCAGAGGGTGTAATCTGGAAAGGCTGGGAGGGAATGTGAGGAATGCTAAGCCTCCCACGTGGGAGTGACTGCTCTCCCCTGGCCCTCAGCTGGTGACTGAGGTGCTCAGAGCCTGGTGGGCAGCAGGATGGTCCTGCTGCCACAGCAGCCCCTTGGGGCATCCCTTAGGATCAGCACTTGCCCTTGGGATCAGCACTTGCTGTTCATCCCTTCTGCCAGAGGAAGAGCAGGCTGTGAGTATGCAAAGGGTGAAGTGGGAGCTGCTGCTCAGTGATCTGAGCCACGATGTTAATTCTGCTTACGTAAACTTAATACTTTCTGCAGCAATTTAGCGCGACTGGGCAAAGAATTAAATCTTTTCTATCCGCAGCTGAACGAAAATCAGGAGAAGGAATTTGTGGGCTGTTGGTTTAACTGCATTTGGAAAGATACTGTCTGCATTTTGGTACCATTCCTGTTTCAGTGGGAGAAAGCAACTGCAGCTGGTTAACTCGGTGCTCCCAGGGCACAGCACTTCCCAGGAATCTGTGGATGCAAAACCATCCCAGTGAGCCCCAGTGAAACACAAACTGCCTTTTTTCTTGGTGACACTTTGGTATGTGAAGCATTTTCCCTGGATGGTTGATGCTAGAAGCTTCCAGTCTACTGAAACAAGCTAAAATTAGAAAGGCTTGGAGCTGTGCTTCCTACAGATCCATTTATGTCATAGGATGTGGCTGTTGGCACTTTGGAATGATTGATTGTCAAGTTTGACAGGCTTGAAAGAAGTGATTTCAAGTCTAATGGCAAAGCAGCTAAGTAGATTGGGTTCGTCAATTGTTTGTTTTCCTAGGAAAAATTAATGTTAGGAGCTTCATGGTGCTGCTGACAATAAAGGCTTTGGAATAGCAGCTCCAGAAGGCAACCTTGGATGAGAGCACCTGGGAGCCACCAAATTGTGTAAGAGGTTTTCTCCTGAGAAAACTTGAAGTGAAATCCATTGGAGGGAAATTAAAATGCTCAGGAGCTTTGCCAGGGCAGCCCCAGCCCCCAGCCAGTGTTTCTGGTCCCCTTTCAGCCACCACATCTGCTCACACACCTTCCAAGTAATAAAACTCTCTCCTGCTCTAGGAAGGAACTGTGGAGTCCTTATCTCAAAGAGACAAAGGATGACTCCCTGAGAAGAGCTGGAACTGCCTCTGGGGCCACAGTTTCTTTTGGAGCACAGCTCCTTTCTCTTCCAGGATGTTTGATTTGGGAGGGATGTAACTCTGTCACCAGGTTTAAGAGAAGCTGAGTTTTGACACCAGTTCATCCAAACCCGTTTTTGACCACAGATTACCCAGTTAACTGCCTTGCACCTTAATTTCCCCTTGAAAGTGGGAAAAAATTGCAGGAATGAAAATGCACCTTCTTCCCTTGGCGAGGTTATTTGCTGGTGGTGCTGGGAGAGGGTGGGACTGGACGGTCCTGAAGGTCTTTTCCAACCTCGATGATTCTGGGACATTTTGAAGCAGAACAGAACTGAACTGTGTTTCCTCCTTCACTGAAACAGTTTAGAACCTGTTTCTGAAACTGCAGAGGTCACTTCTTAAAGGGTGTAGGGAAGGATGTCACCCAGAGGGAAGGATGTCACACAGAGTGCCTTCCCACCACTAGCTGGGATTTTGCTGAGAGGTGTGGGGAAAAAGCTGTTTGCTTCTCTACTTTTTTCAGCAGTGTAATCCCTCAGGAAAATGTAGCCCCAGAAAAAGAAGCCTGGAGGCAGAAACAACGCAAGAACCTAGAAGAGATTTTTTTTTAGTTTTATTTTTTGTGCTGTGTTCAGTTTTGGGCCCTTCACGACATGAAAGACACGGAAGGGCTGGAGCGTGTGCAGGGAAGGGAAGGGAGCTGGGAAGGGGCTGGAGCAACAGGAGGGGCTGAGGGAGCTGGGGGGGCTCAGCCTGGAGAAAAGGAGGCTCAGGGGGGACCTTCTGGCTCTGCAACTCCCTGACAGGAGGGGGGAGCCAGGGGGGGTCGGGCTCTGCTCCCAGGGAACAGGGACAGAGCCTGCTATTGCCAACCTCAGCCTTCCCAATCCCATTACCCTGAGCAAATTGGCAAGTCCCAGAGCTTGCCAGGCAGCACCAGGGACATGATCTGCTTCCCTTCCCTTCCCCTTTTCCATAAACATTATAGTATTGCTGGATTTTAATGATTCATGTGGGCTGCATCCCATTCAGTTGGGTCGGGTGCTGCCATCCATGTGCTCCTAATCACATGAATCATGAAAAGAAAATTGCTCCAGCTTCTGGTCAGCCCTGGGCTGGTTTCAGGGCAGTTGTCACTGTGGCTCATCCAGAAACAAGTGAGGAAGCAGCTCTTGGAGGACTTTGGAGGGGGATAAGGACTTCTGCTAGAAACTGGGATCCCTTCCCCCTGGGACTGGCCCAGGAGGGGGAAAGGTTTGTGTGCACAGGTTGGTGTCCAAGCCATGGGGAGCTGTAACGTGATGCTGGGATGAGAGGATGTGCTAAGGAGTTATTTTCAGAAGCAAAGGGAATACCAAGTCACAAGGCAAAGCACTGTCCTGGCACCTCCTTTGGAGCAGGTACTGTGCAGTGTTTGACTTTCTGATCCAAAAGGAGAAAAACTGTTCCAATTATTCAGGTCTTGCACTGTTCAGGTTATGAGAGGACCTTGGTTGGTGTAGGGCAGCGAGATTTCCAGGTTTCCAAATTTGGGATTCACAAAAACAGTGGATAATGAAAGTTGTTTCATACTCAGGACTAGAGAAAACATAAAGCTGGAGAAGGAACTTAGTCCAGAGGAAGGGGAAATAATGGCTCTTCAGCAGATTCCTGCTGGGCATCACACAATAAATGGAAAATAAAGCAAGGAGAGACAGCACATACTGGACATACAGGACCTGAGAATGCCAGTAGTGTATTAGAGGCACCTGAAGAGAGAGAGTTCAACCAGTGCTGTCTGTCCTTAGCAAAGTATTCTGCACTCCTGATCTCACCGGTGTGTTTTTAACCACAGTGACCATTCCCTGACTATCACTATTCCTAATACCAGCACCAACCCCTTCTCCCAGTGCCTCACGCTGAAAACACAGGTATTTTGGTGCTTGGTGTCTTCAGGGTGCCTGCTGGAGTCTCATCTGCTGCTCCTGGAGCATCACGAGAGCCTGGCAGACACTCGATCCCGGCGGCGTCAGCGGGCGGGACTCGGGAACGCTCCGGGATAATCCCCGGGGAGGTGACAGAGCCTCTTTGGGTTACAGACAGGCCCACCCCACAGCCACCCACGGGGTGAGGCCCCCATCCCAAAAGCTGGCAGCAGGACTTCAGCAACGTGCCATGGGTGAAGGTCAGGGACTCCTAAAGGGTGGCCTGTCAGGCTGGATTTTCTGTTTCCAAATCAGACCTGGAGCTGATGGCAGAAACTCAGCAAGTGTTTCGTCCTGGCTGGGTCCCATCACCCCATGGGGGTGGCACCTGGGCCCAAAATCTTGCCCCAGGAGGGGAAGAAGCAGCTCCAGTGGGGGGGATGGTTGCCATGTCCCTTTCCCAACCTCCTGCACTGAAACACTGAGT